CTGCGGCTTTGTGGGTGTTTAACCTCGCACCCCACCCTGGCAAAACGCGGGGTGCTTGACCTGACACTTTTGTGGGGCCTCCCCCTTGTTTTTTCCCGCCCCCCCCCCCCCCCCCCCCCCCCCGGCTGGCTCCGCGTGTTCCACGATGCGATGCTGACACACACTGCAGAACCACACCATGCTCCGCGTCAAGGACGCCGCCAAGTCCCTCAAGTTCTACCAGGACATCTGCGGCATGCAGCTCTTCCGCACGGTGGAGAACAAGGAGGCCGGCTTCAACCTGTACTTCCTCGGCTACCTGGGCAACAAGGGCCCCCACACGGAGCCGCCCAGCGACACCCAGACCGCCGAGCGCGAGGGTCTGCTGGAGCTGACCTGGAACTACGGCACCGAGAACGAGGCCGACTTCAAGTACCACAACGGCAACGACGAGCCGCAGGGCTTCGGACACATCTGTGAGTATCACCACGATGGGACGTTGTGGCACTCTCGCATACTGACACATTGGCAAGGCATCTCGGTCGACAACCTGGAGCAGGCGTGCCAGCGCTTTGAGGATCTGCAGTGCAACTGGAAGAAGAGGCTCACGGACGGACGCATGAAGAACGTTGCCTTTTTGCTGGACCCCGATGGTTACTGGGTTGAAATTGTGGCCCAGAAGTTCTGAGTCCGCGAGGTGTCAGGTCCCATTTCATCACGGAGACGGAGACACAATTCTTTTGAATATCATAAAAGTTTTGAAGAGAGCGGCCATTTATCGTGCCTCTGCTTGAGTTATGTAGAATGTCACCAGCCAAGAAGTGCTAGACGAGACGTGCATGACCCTAGCTAGGTCCCTGATTTATAATGGGTCTGGTGAATTACATTTGTCTTCCGAGGGCAACCGTTCTTTGCTTCTCATATTTCCATACGGACATTCTTCATACTCCGGCTGTCCTCAGAGAAAGCCACCATGGCTCCCAACAAGAGAATGACGACCGTCACTGCAGCTGACGTTTTTCCCGCGTTGTACATGTACCTGTTCCTCATCATCGAGGTAAGCACGAACTTCAGTCCCATCCTCTCACAGCGACATATTGATCATGCAGCCGGGCATTATTTGGATCGCACTGCCTCTGATCTTGGTCGACCCATCCCACCATTTCCACTCCTTGGCACCCGCAGGTCTCACATCCGGTCCGTACTTTACAACATCGCCCGCGTCGCCACCCGCCAGCTTCCTGCAGGCATGGCACACGCCCCAGACACGCGAGCTGCTGTATCTCTACGTCGCCGCCATGGCTTTTAGCGCCGTCGTCGAGCCCATGCTACTGTACCTGGCGCGATACAAGCTGCACGACGCGCGGGACACGGAGCTCGTCGTCACGGGCGTCCTGCTGAGCTTCCTGGCTTTTGACGTCTTTCACGCGGCCGCGAACTGGGCCGTCGTGGGCAGCGCGTCGCTGACGCGGGACATGTACGCTGCCATCAACTTCTGGATCCCCGTGGGGTTGGTCGTCATCAGGAGCATGTGGCTTCTGGGCGTGGGCCGGAGCGTCACGCACTGCAAGACGGATTAGCCGCACTGCTTCTCTGCGGAGGCTGCCATGAATGAATCAAGACGCCAACGTACAGTATCACGTATACTATCACCCCACACCAAGGATATGCCTGACGTGAACCCCGCGGGGAAGCTATGCAGCTAGTGCAGCGGAGCGTGGGGAGCAGACTACTTACATGTATATGGAGGGGACGAGGCCCTTCAATGGGGAGAACATGTACGGAGCATTTGGGAATGTCTCCTTTGAGAATTTTCCAACGTGGGGGGCTGTCCAGGTTAGATAATGGCATTATGTGCCTGTTTGACCAGGCGGGCTTGTGTCGCCTCGACCACCCACGTACCACCTACGCAGCATGCCATTCATGGCTTGACTGATTGTCGTGCCACTTTGCCCGAGCACGCAGACTCTCTTCCCTTTCACTTTTACAAACTAAAAGAGGTCAAGCATCAATCTGTAGATTGCCGTGCTCAGTATGTCGCGTCCAACAATTCTGGTGCCGGAGAAACTATCCCAAGAAGGCCTCGCCTTACTATCACCACACTTTGACATCACCGTCACAAGCCTCACCCCCGAGGAGCTCATCGCCCAGATCCCCTCCTACCATGCCCTCATCATCCGCTCAGAGACAAAAGTGACGGCCGATGTCTTGCGCGCAGCAAAGAACCTCAAGGTCGTCGCACGAGCCGGCGTTGGCGTCGACAACATTGACGTACCCGCCGCAACCTCGCGCGGTGTCATCGTAGTGAACTCACCCAGTGGCAACATTGCCGCCGCCGCCGAACATACCATTGCCCTGCTTCTCGCCACGGCACGCAACATTGGCCAAGCGGACGGCGGCTTGAAACTGGGCAAGTGGGAGAGGAGCAAGCTCGTCGGCATTGAGGTAGGCCGCAAGACTCTCGGCATCATCGGCTTGGGCAAGGTCGGTGTCCGCGTCGCCCGCATGGCCAAAGGGCTGGGTATGAAGGTTGTCGCGGTCGATCCGTTTGCGAGCCCGGACATGGCGAAGCAGGAAGGCGTCGCGCTGGCGGCGGACCTGGATGCGATGCTGCCTGTCGTGGATTTTTTAACGATACACACACCTCTCCTTGCGACGACGATGGATCTCATCGGAGAGAAGGAGCTGAGGAGAATGAAGCCCTCGGCACGGGTTCTCAACGTCGCGAGGGGTGGAGTATACAATGAGGAAGCTTTGCTGCATGCGCTGGATGAGTATTGGATCGGGGGCGCTGGGCTGGACGTGTTCACGTCCGAGCCGCCCAAGCAGGATTCAGCGGCTGCGAGGCTGACGAGCCATCCCAAAGTCGTGGCCACGCCTCATCTTGGCGCTTCTACCGTTGAGGCGCAGGAGAATGTCTCGCTGGACGTGTGCAACCAGGTCCTCGCCATCTTACAGGGCGGGCTACCGACGAGTGCCGTCAACGCGCCCATCATCCTCCCCGAGGAGTATGGCAAGCTGCAACCGGCCGTGCAGCTGGTCGAGAAGATGGGCAAGCTGTACACGCAGCACTTTGTCGGCTTGCGGGGTGGTATGCTGGGGGGCCGGAAATTTGAGCTCACCTACCACGGTGACCTGGCTGGCATGCCCAATACCAAACCCCTTTTCGCGGCGCTTGTCAAGGGACTCGTTGCGGATATTAGTGACTCGCACATTAACATTGTCAACGCGACCCTCGTCGCCAAGGAAAAGGGCCTTGTTATCAACGAGACGTTCAACAATGACACGAAAGACCTGCTATATGCCAACCTGGTCACGCTTGGAGCGTATGACTCGGGTCATTCGGGCGAGCAGATTATTGAGGGTTTCACATCGGACCAGAGAGGCTACATCTCCAAGCTCGACCGCTTCAGCGCCATTTTCTCGCCCGAGGGCACCCTCATTGTCCTGCACAACTACGACCAACCCGGTAAGATTGGAGGCGTGGGGACGGTGCTGGGCAGTCACGGGGTGAACATTCGGTTCATGCAGGTCGCCAGTCTGGATGCCACCATGGAGACGCAGAATGGAAAGGGGAACGAGGCGCTGATGATCCTCGGTGTGGATGGCCAAATGAGCGCCGAGGTTATTGAGGATCTGCGAAAGTCAGAAGGCGTGCTGAACGTGAGCCTGGTGGTGTTGTAGGTATTGTTGCACTTGCAGTTCCAGTGGGTTTACCAATATGTTTCCATTTCTTGTTGTTCGCTGTTCATTGCCTCCGCTACGCTGTGAATACATTGACCCGCCATCGCTGTAGAGCCTTTGTTCTTCCCTTATATCCCATCTACCATTTATCCTCAGGGTCAACATCTTCGATGGAATCCAAGACTATATCCTGCTCATCGTGCAGAAAGTCGCTGAACTTCCAGCCCGCCCCTGTCGGGTTCTCTTCACCGTCCGGCGCATTCGCGCGCTGCGCCTCTTCTCTCTCCCTCTGCCGTTCGCTCATCCACGCAATCGCCCTGTCGCGGATCACCAGTTCATGTTCACCGGAGATTTCGCCCGGCTGCGACAACAGCCACGCTTCCAAATCTGCCCTGACCTGGGCTGGCCATTCGTAAGGGCGTCCATATGCCAACAGCAACTGCCACATATCCACCCAGCTCCTGAGCTGACACACGGCACACGTTGTTTCGATGTATTCGGTGACCAATACCGGCATACATGGCACTGTGTCACTCAACAAGCGGAGGCGACAAAAGGTCCAGTACAGAGCGTCTATATCTGGGTCGAGGGATACCCAACCGCAAGCGCACCTCAGGATGAAGTCGTGGACGAAGCACATGCTGGGGGGCAGGGGCCCAAAGTCGTGTGACGGGGAGCATCTGTTGATGTGAAGAGTTGATAAGTGTGTTTAAGCGGATGATATGCGTGTGGATGTTGGATGAAGTCTACTGATGTTCGTTGCGTACTCGTCCAAGAAGGGTTCGGCTGGGCGATGGGTGGAACAGCTCCATGGACTGTCGGTGTTGTTATATGTAGTGCTTTTGGGATATAGAGGCCTTTTGGATTGTCGAGACTTTGTCGGCGGCATGTGAAGCCATGGATCGAGTGACTGGCTCTTGCTCACTTTTTGCCATCACCCAGAGGAGAAGGGGCAGTAAAGGACTCGGAAGGACCAATCATCACGGGCCATGGCTTCCTACACGATTTTGTTGGAGAGCAAAGTTAAAGATATTGCACGAGAAATCTAAGAAACACATGCGATCAAGTTTTAGGAGGTTCTCATTGCTCTTCTGGAGTTGTGTCCCATCCTGACTATCTGTACACCACTTGCTGCCCATATTGACGTTGATCTGTGCGGACCAAATTCGACGCAATTGCAGCAAGATTCTTACAGTGCAAGATGCATCCAATAAGAATCAATGTGACGGTTCGCAAGTAGACAGCTTCGGAATTCCATCGCTAAACTGCGTGAGTGACTCAATCAACAACAGGGGAAAAGCGGTCATTGGTGAATAGCCTACCCTACACATTCAACAGGCTCGTAACTAGCCATATACTGAGATATTGGGCCCCGTCTATTTCCAGAGATAGGAAAATACACAATTTTGTATATTTCATACCTCTTTGGGGAGCTCGACATGGGCGGGGACAAATTGCTGGGCATCAACCCCAATAGACGTTGTCTTTTTGACCTGGCTGCCTTAGTACGTGGCGCCGAGTGGTAATCAATGTCGACAGCAATTTGACAACCACAGATACCACAAATACCAGCAAAGGAAAACAACAGCCAAGGCGCAATATAGCATCACCACCATTTCTAGTGACTCAGCTGGTGGCCAGGACTCCCAGGAGGCTCTTGTTCTCCGCCTTACACACCAATTTAGAGTATTGCCTAAAGCGGTAATAGTCCACGACTGCACTAACACCGTCTCTCCACCACGATCGTGAATGTCTTGGCCATGATCGTACTATGCCGCTTGAACCCACCGTGAAAGACACCGGCAGACCCGAATCCTACTTCTCGAGTACTGCCTGCCCCTTTCCTGGCCAAGGACGTGCTGGCATATGTATGTTCGTGGGTGGGGTTCGCCGGGCCGACGCCCGATCCCCGATTCCTCCCTCGGGCCTCCGCGTTCGCAGCTGCGGAAAACTCCACACAGTTGCGGAAAACGCCACCCAGCTACGTCTGACCCTCCTCGACGTGACTCTTCTTTTTCTCTTTGACTACTTTACTTCATCGGCCACCCGCCTGGCAGTCCACTCGTCCGCGCGCAGTGCTGTCCAACACAATTCATCCCTCATCATGTCGACGACAGCTACCGTCACGCAGGAGGCGGCGCCGGCCAATGAATTGGCGCGGCCCGCCTCGACGCATAATAAGCACGATGGAATTCTCCGCCAGGAGGAGGCAACATCATCACCCGTCGGAGACATGCAAATCGACGATGGCTCGCCTCCCCACGCGCAGGGCGAGGTCGAGAGGTGGAACAAACCAATGGGCAACATTGGGCGCCTTGCGTTTGCATTTATATCGTTTATGATTGCTGGTATGAACGACGCAGCAACCGGAGTATGTTACTAGTGTCTCTCCTGTACATGATCCTTACTTACAGGATTATAGGCTCTGATTCCATATGTGTGTTTTGCCAACTGATAGTCATCCCAATCCTGGAGCTAACGGACACAGCTGGAAGAATATTACAATCTGACATACACAGTCGTATCACTCATCTTCCTGACACCGTTCGCCGGATACTCTGTGGCCGCATTTGCCAATGCGCGCATCCACATGACCCTCGGGCAGCGAGGCATCGCCATCATCGCGCCTCTATGTCATATTATCACCTACGTCGTCCTCGCCGTGCACCCTCCCTGGCCCGTCCTCGTCGTCATCAACATGATCAGCGGCTTCGGCAATGGCCTCACGGACGCCTGTTTCTGCGCTTGGGTTGGTGCAATGGACAAGGCCAACACGATCCAAGGGTTCCTCCACGCCACGTACTCTGTCGGCGCTCTTTTCGCGCCTCTGATCGCGACAAACATGGTCGTCACCGCCAATCTGCCCTGGTATACCTTTTACTATGTCATGGTTGGTATATCGGTGCTCGAGCTGGTTGGTCTCACTGTCACCTTTTGGCACAAGACGGGCGAGGTCTATCGGAAGCAGCACGAGCGGGCCAACAGCAGTCAGGGGGGCGCTGGGACGCGCATCGCGCTCAAGAACAAGGTGACCTGGCTATGTGCCGTCTTTTTCTTCTGCTACATGGGCGTGGAGGGTAAGTGCACAGTCTCAGCGCACGACTCTGATCGTAGTGGCTAACAGGATGTAACTTAGTGGGCCTTGGAGGCTGGGTCGTCACCTTTATGCTCCGCGTGCGAAAGGCATCCCGCTACGCATCTGGTATCTCCGGCACGGGTTTCTGGGCGGGCATGACGGTCGGCAGGGCCGGGCTGGGATTCGTCACGGAGAGGTTCGGCGAGAGACTGTGCGTGACCGTCTATCTCCTCCTCTCTGTCGCTCTGCAGCTCCTGTTCTGGCTCGTTCCCAACTTCATCGCCTCCGCCATCGCGGTGGCCTTTCTCGGCGTTTTCCTGGGTCCTCTCTTCCCAGGGGCCGTTATGGTCACGGCGAAGCTTCTGCCACCACATATTCACGTCAGCGCGATCGGATTCGCCATGGCTCTGGGGGGCACTGGCGGCACAGTGTTCCCCTTTGCGATCGGAGCCATCGCGTCTCACGCGGGCGTAAAGGTGCTGCAGCCGATTATCCTTGCCCTGATTCTTGTCGTGATGATGGTGTGGTTGAGTTTTCCTCGAATCAAGGAGGGGCAAGGGATGTTTGCGAGGATGAAAGCATGGATGGCGAGCCGGTCTTCGAGATAGATTCACGATACTTGGAGCGGCAATCTGAGCTTGCTGCTCGTGAAGCAGTGCCACGCTTGGGGGTGAGTACGGATTCCTTATCTCTATGAATAACTTTCGTCAACGACTCAAAGCTGTTGTTTCCGCTGGGATGTCAAGACCTCCAACATTGAACCTGGCGCTCTCTCCCATGCGTCAAGTTTTGGAGCCAACAAATCATCCCCACCTATCAACAGCCCTCACTCACCGTATCACCGCATCCGTTGACATTGATCAAGTGTTCCATTGGGGTGCAAACAACGGCACTCCTGTAAATTTGATTCTTGTTTCGGCATCCAGGTTGTGACAGGATGTTTGAGTTCTCATCGAGCTTGAGCCGGTCTCGTGCATGCCGAAGCCAAGGTCTATGTCTGACAGGCTGGTTATACAGACATAAGTACACTCACCGACAGAACTGAGTCGATATATGATTCCAGTTCGACTCGGACCAGCTTGGCTAAGTTTGACTTTCTGTTGGCGAGAAATGCCCCCAACACAGTGAGATCAGGGTTCGATGATTATGCACTACCCAAGATTCACCAGGAACGTATGAAATCAATGACAATCTGAGAACTCTTCTGGTCAGTGTCAGCCTTGGAAGACCAAGTCTCGAATCCGATTCAGTCCAGCTGCTCAAGGTTATATTCGGCTGCGCTTTCTACCACAAGCACTTGACCATATCCTCAGCTCCACTAAGCGTTTCCTCGACAATCTCAACACCAGCACTCTTGTCTTCACCAACTTATATCAACTTCAGCATCAACATACAGCACTCAATATGTCCTCGCACCGTATCTCAGTAAGGGCCCTCTGATCTTGCTGAACCCCAGGCAGAAAAAACAACGAGAAGCGTTGCCATCCAAAATCTAATGCTAACCTAGCTATCAGAAAGCGGCCCGAGACTTGATCAGACTTCTGGAATCTGGTCAAATGAACACCCTCACGGACCTCTGCCGCCTCGAGCGCACCGCCGTGGCCGTCGAAGAAGAGGTCGACTCAAAAGCTCTCCAAGAGCCCGTGACGGCCGCCTGGCGGTACTATGTCAATTCGAACCAGTTCCTCATCGAGCTGCGCCGTCTGACGCCCACGTTCCCCTTCAGCGGCGAGTTGGTCGCCGAGGCGTACAGGCGTGTCATGAACGATCCGGAGACCAGGACGCGTAGCTGGAACCAGGCGTGGCTTTTGCTGGTCAAGATGAAGGAAGATGGTCTCCTGATGGGCTATGCCTCGACGGAGGCGCACAAGCAGGAGATGTGGGGTGACATGATCCCTTCGCCCGAGCAACTTGCGAGCCTCGCCACTGATGTTGAGAGGGCGTGGTCCAGGGCGGTGGAAATCATGCTGAGGAACTGGCCAATCGCGCCCACGTACAGCTACAGTGCGCATTGGAGAGGACTGCCACCTTCTTGATTTGCCGGACGTTGATGGATGGTGCTAGTCATATGGGGGGAAGGGCAGCGCCGCTATCTTGCGACTTGGAACATTGCGCAGAGACTTTTTCGACACTGTCTCTTTTTGGCAGATCAAGGGCTTAGACCATTTCTTTAGAAAACAATAAATGTACTGGACCGGCTTGAAGTGGTCTCAGACTTTAATAACTGGGTAGAGGTTGCACGTGGGCAGGATCTTCTCCCCTGAAGTACTACGTAAAACCCAAAATGTCACTCTCCTCGGAGTGTGAAAGACATTTCAAGACCACAGACAACTTTTTTCCATGCAGATACAGCAAAACATGTTGTACAGTATAATAAGCACAGGCGCCAACAAGCTCGATAGAGCACCAAGACTAGCCAAAGGAAGCGCAGGCTTGGCACTATCTTACCCAGAAAGACCATGGTGTTTATGTGAAGCTCATGAGAGGCATCTACAGTTTTGTACAAGAGTTTTCATACCGTTACCATCTGGCTTAGCGGAAGTGCGACGGCCCAATATTGAGGGACTACCTACCTGACCATGCAGTCAGTTGCAACTCCAGCCCATGTTGACGTTACGACCACAATGCCATGGCCCAATAGTTCAGTCGAACGCTGATTTGTCATGTCTCTTGCGAGATACACAGGGTTCAATGAGTCGTATACCCCAGCCCCTGCCGCGACTGCGCACCGCAAAGCGGCGTGCATGGCCAACCCGACCGTCTTACGACAAGGGTATTTGTGGAAGCTCATCATCGCCAGGCACAGCTCCTTTCTTTGAGTAGCATAACTCAACTCAGCCATCAGCGTCGCATATGCTGGTGCCTGCTCTGGAGTCCGCTAGTCAGCTAACTCAGGAATCTAGATGCTGGTGAATCTCTGACCAGAAGGATGCCCCGTCAAGCTCTCTTGGCTTAGTGATGCTTTGATTCACATAGAAGTTGTCCTCAGTCACCCTGGCAGAAGTTGATCGCAGGGAAAACAGGTGGTGCTAACGCAGGCGCCTGGGACAAGCCAGAAGAGCGATGCTCCAAGCGCAACACCATACTGGCCCGTGCCATTTTGAGTTGCGCGGAGAGGGCGTGTTCGACTCCTGGCTTGCTGATGCTCTGTAGACCCCTGATAGCCTCGTCGCAGGTCTCAATACTCTCCGCCATCTTCCCATGGAGATAGTAGCACCGCGCCATCTCGGCGAGCGTCCCCAATCGATCCGGGTGGAAGTCGCCCCGACGAGCGGCCATGGACTTTTGCGTCTCGGAGACCTCCTGGAGGATGGCCTCAGCCTCGTCGTATCGCTGCTGCTGGATGAGGGTAAGTCCAAGGATGCAACGCCCCCAAGCGGTAGCAATATGGCTGACCCCGTACATGCTCTCCGCGACGAGGAGGCCTTCTCGCATCAGAGCTTCCGCTTTCCTTGGCTGTTGAATGGCGCACTTGGCAATGGCCATGTTGACCATGGCGAGCAGCGTCATGGGGTTTGTCTTGCCGTATCGAGACTGACGTCTTTGCAGAACTTCGGCCATGAGCTGCTCTGCTTGGACGGCGTAATCGACGCCGAGGAGTAAAGCGGTGCGACTCAAGCTCTCCTGCGCGTCCAGAGCACCAGCGTGGTCCGGGCCGTGGAGTGCCTTTAACCCTTCCATGGCCGTTCTGTGCAGTTGGTGAGCCTCCTCAATGTCTGCTCTCCGGTAGAACTTGATCACAGTCCGACCGAGTTGGTCCATGGCTGTCAAAGTATCTTGGTGTTTGTCACCAAGAGTTCTTTTCAAACCTTGCACCGCTTGTCTCTGCAGTTCGAGGGCGTCCGAGAGTTTGCCTTGTTGCCAGCGAGTGTGCCCCAACTTGCTCATGACTCTCAGCGTGTCTGGATGTCCTGGGCCCAAGTGCTTCTGGCACAGCGACAGCTGGCGGACTTGCAATATTGCAGCCTCCTCCGGCTTGCTGTTCATCCAGTATGCGTCTGAAAGAGCTAGGCTTACACGCCTCGTGCGACTATTGTGCTGACCAAGAATGCGGACGAGCGTGTCGACCACGAGGGTCAGTAGCCGCTCCGCCTCGTTGAAGCCACCAGAGCGCATATAGACAAGACTAAACTTGCCAAACATGACCAGTCTCTCCGCGTACAGGGTCTCGCCAAAATACAGTCGTGCTTTCCAGGTCAGGGCGCGTTTCGCTTCCATTTCCTCGGATATTGCTTCACGACAGGCCTGGACGTGTTTGACATGGGGAAGTAGACTCAAGTGATAGGTGTCGTCGTCCGCCTCTAGGCCGAGGGGAGGAAGCAAGATGGATGCGGACAGCACCATGCCGGCTGTGTCCGCCCACAGGGACTGCCGGCTCAACCGCTGTCGCATGCGAGCCCATTTATGAACGATCGGGTGCATGGTATAACTTTTGCTGATCTCATTGTAGTCGATGAGGGAACGCTGTGTGAGCTCCGAGAGAGCCTGTTTCACCCGCAAGACACCTTTCCTGGAGTTTCCATGCATTCGTCCCCAACGTATGGCGTCTGGAAAAGGGGTAGGACCTCGCGCTCTGAAAAGAAACATCAAAAGACTCCGCTGCTTGGACGATAGCCAGTCGAGATAACTCGTAGTCTGTCGTTGCGATTCCAACTCTGCTTGCTGATTGTCCTTCTCGGCTTGCGCAGTCTCCAGATCGGCGTTTGCAAGTGCCCGCTCCAACAGTTCTCTTGGAATGTTCTCTCGGTGCAGAAAGGCAAACACGTTGAGAAGTTGGGTCGCGTCGCGGCTGCGCTGCGTGTTCTCTGTCTCCAGCTTGAGGTAGAGCATCTCCCAGGTGCGAACGGCGCAGACTTCGAATTTGTGGTCGGGGTCGTCAGGGGCGTAGCTCGAGTATTGGACTTGTTGCCAGCTCAGATCGTAAAACTCGTCAAAGTTGTTCAGGTCGCAGAGATTGGTTCGGATGGCGGCTCCCGCAAGACAAATGGCGAGTGAGAGGTAGCCAAGGGTCTCCGTGATGGCATGAGCAATCTTTCGCCATGCTACGTCCCAGGGAGAGGGCCGCCTAGCAGCCCGCAGGAGAAGATTCGTGGCTTCTTCTGGGGATAGCAGTCGTGAGCTGAAGTTGTAAGGCTGTAGCTCAACGTTTTGGTTGTGTATTGAGTGACCAGGAACACGAGTTGTGATTAGAATATGGCCTCGGTTTCCCTTCGGAAAGTAGGTTTCCAAGGAGATACTGGGGTCATCTGCATTATCGATGATGAGGAGCCAACGTCGCTGCTCGGTGGACAGCCAGTGCAGAGCTGCATTCATCGACAATTCGTTGGCCGTGCTCTTGTCCAGGCCAGCAAGTCGACCTATCCGCCCAAAAGTCTGCTCGAGTTGTGCCTTTGAGCTGCCGTCGATGTAGAAGACGCCCCAGAAGCTGTCACGGTTCTCTTCGGCAAACTTGCAGCAGAACTGTGTCTTGCCAGAGCCCCCGATACCATGGACAACGAACCGTCGTTGTCTTTGCTTATGCAGCGGCCCGGGTGGTTGGATGAAAGCATCGCGTAGCTCATGTAGCAGATCTTCTCTCCCGACGTAGTAGCTACTCACGGCCTGGGGGATATCGAAGTATTGGTTGGCGACTCGCAGAGGCGTCTCTGCAGGCATCGAGTTGAACCAGATGTCGAGGTGCTCCAATGCAGCCAAAGCATCTCTGCTACCTGGGGAGGTCGGAGTCTGGGGACTGGCGGTCCCACCCAGTAGTCTCTGCGATTCCACTCTGCGCCTCAGAAAGTGGACATCGTTGGCAACGTTGGCTATCGATTCGAGATTGGTGATATGCGCAAGTCTCCCATCTTGTCTGGAGATGGAACAAGGGCGGATGGTCAGTAATGGATTTCGATGAGCCTTGTTGGGTTGGATGTTCTGGTGGTGTATCATGGTTACTTACACGGAGATAAGGGTGAGTAAAGTATTCAAGGTGCCATGCTGTATGCCCAAATCACGGCGGATTCTATTCAAGTCATCATCGACGGAGCGCTTCGCAAGGGCTGTCTTCAGCTTGGCTAGAGTGCCGCTTGGCGAGGTAGGAGAGCCGGTGTCGCCGCTACAGAGCTGCACGAGCAGCGCGTGCAGCTGTTCTACCAAACTGTGACATTCCTTAACGCATCCATCGACAAAAGACCACAGGAAGAGTTGCTTCTCGTTTGCCGTCCGTCTATCGCCCGTTGTGGGCGTACTGTGTGACCGCAAGGACACAGCCGTCGAAGTTGGAATGGCGCCTTGCACAGCCTGGCACAGTTTCCTGAGTGTTTCGATCTCGTCCGTGAGGGCTGCTAGCTGTGAGGATGTCGCGTTCACGTCCTGTTTCAGGCTTCGCACGTACGAGACCAGCCGGAAACAGACGTCGCTCAGACCGGCGACACCAGCCACGATGCTGAAGGGATCCGCCATCTGGTCGTCTGCGTCTCCCAGACTCGAGGACGAATGGTCAATAGGCGAGAAGATGGCTCATGTTTGGGGGGAATGGAAAGACAGAACCACCCTGTCGAGTCGCCACATCACTTTTGCTGCATGTCTTGTCCAGCCAGCTTGGGCCAGAGGGTAGACCAAACAAGGCAGAGGCGGACGGCATGATTGATGGTGGTCAGGCAAGTCATCATACGCACATGTGCACTTTCGGTTGCTGTGGTGTGTTTAGAATGAATGATCATCCGTATAGGTAACAGGACGTACATTGGGGGCACACATAGATTGCCAAGAGTCGGTTGGTGCCTCCCTCCCTGCCGGTGGCCAACTTCATTGGGTTGGTTGGTTGCTGTGCATAACTTATAACCGCCTGCCGTCACACATGAAGACAATCAGTGATTGGAGCAAGATACTGTGAAGCTCGGTGGTGTCTGCTTCTTGCATGCTATTCCGTCCGTCTGCTCGTTTCGAGCTCCGAACATGTCGTAGCCGTGCTACCTGAGATGTCTCTCATCTCTGGTAGATCGAACCCATCTGCTGCTGTGTGACTTGCCCTCCCCGACACTGTCTGTCGCACGAGTTCTGCGATTGTTCATTACCACGATTTCTCTCCTTCGGCGACTTCGTCGATGAAGCTGTATTCAGAAATGAAGGACTACGTTGAATTGTTGATCAAGGGCGCGCTGGTATTCGCTGAGTTTTCTCTGATCTGGCATCTCCTGCGACGGTATCAGACTTCCCAAGTATGCCCCCCTCTGCCATCAACCAAAGATGACCTCGTCGCGCCCATACTGATCGCAGTCATTTTCCCTATTTAGTTTGAGCGGAAGTTCGCCCTCGAAAAAGGCTGCGAGCCACTCCGTCCATGGAGCGCCAAGTGGCCCATGGGCCTTGATCTACTCGTAAAGGTATTCCAATACGCGCGAGAGGAGCGAGTCTTGCGCTTCTTCGTCGACGTAGTCGGCGACTCTGGCAACACGTTTGAGCAGCGCTTGCTTGGAGTGACGGGCATCGACACAATTGACCCGGAAAACATCGAGGCTATCCTCTCAACCGACTTTGCAAGTAAGTAGTGCCACACCACAGCCGCTCCAGATTGCTGAGACGACTCTTAGATTACACGCTTGGTCTGCGTCCTGCACACTTCAAGCCCCTTCTGGGGTCTGGCATATTTACCCAGGACGGGGACGCCTGGAAGCATTCCAGGCAGTTGTTGCGGCCGCAATTCGCCTCGAATCGGCGTCAGAACTTTGAGCAGATCCAACGCTGCGTGCAGGGCATCATCAATAACATCCCGGAGAATGGCGTGGTCGATCTGCAGCCGCTCTGTTTCAAGCTCACTTTTTCCACCACCATGTTCCTCCTCTTCGGGGACGCTGTCGAGGCAATGAACTGGGGCAAGGTGGTTGGCCAAAAGTCGAGATTCTCCGCGGCGTTCAACCTGGGCCAGGATTACCTGGCGAGTCGGGGCCGTCTTGGTGACCTATACTGGCTCATTAACGACAGAAAATTCCGCGAGGCGTGCCGGGTGTGTCATGAATTCGTTGATGGGGCAGTCGCAGATGCCCTCGAGGACTCCGACGACAAGCGAGTCGAGAAAGAGGAGAGCTACGTCTTTATCCAGGCACTTTTGCAGCAGACACGAGATCCCAAGGTCCTGCGGGATTAATGCTTGAACGTCCTGCTGGCTGGGCGAGATACCACCGGCTGCTGTCTGACGTGGTCCTTGTAAGTGAGCCCCGGTCACTTGTTGCCCCTTTCAAGTGCGGTGCGGTGATGCTGACTTAGAGAAGTCGACTACTCGCTCGCCATCCTCACGTTCTGAGCCGGCTTAGAGAGGAGGTTGCAGAGCACGCTGGAATTGGGCCGGAAGCGAAGCTGCCCACGCGCGACCAACTCAAGAAAATGACATATCTTGGCCTCGTCATCAAAGAAGGTACGTCCTTTAAATACAGCCATGTCTTGCCATTCTGCATCAAGACTATCTGGCTCCAATTCTCTCGAGTGTACGCTCGCTAACAACCTAGTTCTCCGTCTGTACCCTTCCGTGCCCGTCAACTCTCGATCGGCCATCAAGACAACGACCCTCCCAGTCGGTGGCGGCCCAGATGGCAGGGCACCTGTGCTTGTACCGGCCGGCACGGCCGTGGGATACTGCGTATACGTCATGCACAGGCGAAAGGATCTCTACGGCGAGGATGCAGACGAGTTCCGCCCCGAGAGGTGGGAGGGTGATAATCTAAAGGACATTGGATGGGGGTATCTACCGTTTAACGGAGGGCCTCGTGTTTGTCTTGGTCGTAAGTTCCCGTTCATTCTGCAAATGCCGTTGATAGAGGTCCAATGCTAATCATTGTTTTCCAGAGGAATTCGCTCTTCTCGAGGTCTCTTATACCCTCGCTCGGTTCGTACAGCTGTTTCCGGGGATGAAGGTGTCTGACAACGAGCCCGACGTGAGGATCGGCGAGGAGAGACAGACCTTGACGCTTGTTGTGGGCTGCGCTGAAGGGTGCAACGTGTCGCTCAGGGGTGACTAGAAAATGTCTCCGGCGTCTCTTGGGGACACTATCCGCCAGCAGAGCTTGAGCGATAGTGAGTCCTTGTGTGTCTATGTATCATGAGATTATACATCCTGTACCGTCGAATTGAGAAGAATTCCAGTTGTGAAAGTGAATATTCTAGGTTGGCTACTCATGAAAGAACGGTGTTAAGCCATGCCTCCCGTGGAGTAGATATAGGGGTGGAGGGTCTACTACAGTTGCGACTGGAATCACTCTTGGAGATCAGAAAGTAGCGAGAAACAACAGTGCTATGCAATTCAGAAGCTGATTCATCTTCAAGACATGGTTTTGCCACCTCAGGAAGCCACCGCTCCCTTTTTGAAGACACCCATGGCCTCAATGATCTTGGCCAGGGTATCGTCCTCCATGACTTCTCCGTGCTCGACGCCCACCACCTTCTCAGCGGCAGGCAGCATAATACTCTCCTCGACCTCGCGATATCGCCCTTTAGAGATGTGAATCATCTGCCCCTTTCGCGACTCATCAGCCATGAGGAATGCAGCGCTCTTGGCGACGACAATCGGTTCCTGTGGCTCGACCCCAATGCTCTGCATGACAGGGTAGGGCATAAAGCCAGTCTTGGTCCACGAGGGGGCAATCAGATTTACGCGGATGGGCAACTCGTGGAAGTTCAGCCGTTGATGAAGACCTCGTGCAAATCCCAGGTTTCCATGCTTGGCCGTGGCTGGTGCTGTTAGTTGCTGTTGTTGGTGTTCTTCGGAGCAGAACTCTCACCATAATCTGTCGCGCGGAAGCGTGATATGCCAGCGACTGATGACACGACGACGATGCTGCCGCCAGCGGGCGTCTGCTGTTCTTCCCGCATGTAGTACACCGCAATTGTGGCAGTGTAGATGACAGCCTTGAGGTTCACATCTATAGTGACAAAAGTAGGCTCGACGAGATCGCCGTTGGCATCAACTGTCTTTGAAAGGTAATCTGCGCGAGGCCCAACGCCCGCATTGGCAAACACATGGTCCACCCTGCCATGGATCTCTCGGGCCTTCTTGAAGAGGGCCAGTTGCTCAGACCACGAGGTGACATCTGTGCGTTGGAACGTTAATGACGGGTTGTGAATGGGGGTCACTGGCGGCTGCAGATCTCCAATGATGACCTTGGCCCCAAGATCTAGCAAGAGGTTCGTGGTAGCGAGACCAATGCCAGAAGATCCACCTGTGTGACTGTCAATTTGTATTTCCCCCCTGATCACTGTCCGAACTTACCTGTGATGATGACGACCTTGCCTGACAGCCTTGCGAACTCGCCGTCCTGTATGGTGATATCAGTCATGATGAATCAAATTGAGTGCCCAAACTGATTCTAAACTCGATTCTCCAACTTCAACTCATGTTTTAGTTATGCGGTCTCTACTTGTCTCAATTAAACTCATGAGCCGCATTGCGTGTGTAAACTGGTGGGAGCGACATCCTAGTCCGCCTCTCGGCCTATTTTCTAACAGGAGGCTGCGCTAGCACGCAACACCATCTCCGAGGCCGTAATGCCTCGGCGAATAAAATAAAATTTTGCCCATTCGTACTAGATTAGAGTTTACGATCTGCAAGATCGGACTCATCGGCAGCTTGAGGCCCGGTGCTCCACCTCTTGACCCTGAGCCAAGAAATTCCCCGAACAGCATATCCGAGACCATAATCCGAGGAACAGCGGCCTGGGAGAACATGCAGGATAAAAGACCAACAAAAATTCAATATAATCGACATGCTAAGAAAGCCTCGGCAACCAAAGCACCCGGGACCAACCCAGCCACACTCTCACGTCCTTGCACCCCCCTCGCCACTATGCCTCAACTTGTTGGCAAGGCGCTACTTGCTGGCCTGATTCCACTCGGAGCTCTGGCCCTCCACGGTTTCGCCGCTTCCAACGGACTAATCCAAAGGTTCGAGGACCTCAAGGCTGATCCACTCTTGTCTGACGGCGTCACTCTGTATTCGACCAATTACACATCGTCCGAGGGTTTCAATGGCCTGCTAAGAACCCTGCTCAACTTCTTCTGGCCCGTCGTCAACGGTCACGATGCGAGGCTCTCCCTGTACAGCTTCATGTTTGGTGGGCAGGGAGTGGCACTGATGATGCTGAACTTGCTCGAAGGCATGCGCCACGGGAACAGGGGTCTTATGGTGAGCTTGTGAGTGTCCGGTGACAGATCAGAAACTTGCCGATGCTACAACTAACGCGATCCTAGTATCACCATCTACGGCATGCTGTACATGGTGGTGGGCCTAGCTGTCATGGCGCCGTTGTATCTGCTGCTGCATCTGCTCACGTCTCCGACGGCGCACAAGCCAAACAAGACGAATGTAGCGATCAGTGGCACCTCGGCTCAGGGCGCCATCTTCGGGACCTTGGCAGGGTACATCATGCCCAATATTCTAATGTGTCTGCCTGTGGCTTCTGTCATCTCTGTCGAGTCCAAGGCCCTAGCTGTTGTGCTGTGGCAAGCAGTACCCTTGTGGTCGGCGTGTTGTGCCCTAGCTTGGTCCACACTAGCTCCCAAAACGGCGAGAAAGAATGGCAAAGAGCCAGATGGCACGGCTTATGTGCGTGCTGCTTATCAATTCGGCGTTGTCGTGGCAGGGATCAGTCATGTTTCTACATTGGCAGTATCATTCGCAGCATGGCTCAGTCCAGGCATCTTCAACCCAGCGGTAGCATCCACCCTGGCGCCACTTGGCCTACTCCTACCCCCAAACCCTCTAGACAGAGCCACTACTATCACTTCCTTCTTGCAAGGGGCGACATGGTTCCTTCAGTGGGATTACACCATGATGTCCGCAGCCTACATGGTCTGGTCCTTGACACTGCGATATGCATCAACGTCCGCACGGAGAAGGGCCGATTCCCTGGCACTGCCCAAGTTGTTAGTGTCAGTTTTTCTCAGGGCCACACTTCTTGGGCCTATAGGCGCAACGCTGAGTCTTGTGTGGGAAAGAGACGAAGAGGCTTGGAAGACGAGTGAGCCAGGTACTGGGCAGCAGAAGACTAGGAAAAGCAGATAGACAAAGACTACTGGGTGTTTCCGGGGCAAATTCCATTGGCCAATGTGCTTACTCATTTACACCGCCGATAGCCGGTCATATTTATCCTGATACGTAGGCCAAAAATCGAAGTCTGCCCATACATATACCGGAAAGTGAAGCCCCGACCGCCGATGGTGCACATGTTATAACCGGCCAGTCGCATTGCCCTCCTTTTAGGACAAACACTCATACATAGAAAGCTCCCAGAGCCCGGGAAATCCACCTGACGTCAAAAGCGATCCGCATACGGACGTCGAGGAAGGCTCGTCGGCCGATGTGCTCTCCACTCGTCAGACCTCGACAAGTGTTCACAGGCTTTATTGTTCTTAAATAATAACGCTTCTGCCGAAGGTCGGATTGACTTTCCATTGAATGTCGCTTGCTCGTTAGGCGCCTCACACGGTTCAAGTCAACTTGAATACCACAACACCTCTCCACGAGACCATGACAGCCTCGCCAATCGCGCTACCTGCGACTGTAGATGCCAGGACGGCAATCTACTCAGTCTTTGGCTTTATCATCGTGTACCAAATTCTCTCACGGCTATACAATGGCATTCGCGACTATCAACTCTCCACCTCGAATGGTTGCCAGCCACCACCCACCTACCCGCACAAGGATGGAGTGCTCGGTCTGCATCACCTCCTCACGCTCATAAAAGCCAAGAAAATCAACCGGGTCCCCACAGCCTTCTGCGAGATGTTTGATGACACGGGAAGCAACGTCAACACGATTGGCCACTACGTCCTCGGCAAGAAATCATACTGGACTCGAGATGCGGACAACATCAAAGCCATCCTCCACAGCAGCTTCCAAGACTGGGGCCTGCCGCCCGCTCGCAAGGCCACCTTTGACGCCTGTCTTGGTGGTGGTATCTTTGGCGTGGATGGTGCTGAGTGGGAACACTCCCGCGCCATGCTCAAGCCGAGCTTTAACAAGACGCAGATGAGCGATACGGCCACCCTCGAGAAGCACGCGCAAAAGTTGATTACACGTATCCCCGATGGCGAAGAGGTTGACCTGGCCAACTTGTTCCCTCTTCTGACGATGGACGTCGGCACGGAGATGCTGTTTGGTGAGAGTGTCGACAGTTTGTCCATCTCTGAACTGAAGCAGGCGACAGAATTCACCCACTGCTTCGACTACATTGTACACACAATTTCCAAGCATATGAGTCTTCCTTTTCTCACGCGCCTGCCGGACCCCAAGCTCAAGCTCTGCGTCGACTTTGTGAACAGGTTTGCGGAGGGTGTCGTCGACCAGACCATGTCGAGTGAGGAGAAGACCTCAGCCGGCGGCAAGAAGAAGTATATCTTCCCGACCGAGCTGGCCAAGATGGGCTTGTCGCAGAAGCAGATCCAAATCGAGGTGATCAACATTATGTTCGCCGGGCGTGACACTACTGCCGCACTGTTGAGTCTTATATGGTGGTATCTAGCCAAGCGGCCTGACATTGTGTCCAAGATACGGAATGAGCTTGAGCCCCTCGGCTCTCGTGCTCCCACGACTGAGGAGGTGAAGAAGTTGCATTATCTGAAGAACGTGGTCAACGAAGGTATGCGACTCGTGCTCCGAGGATATGATTTCCAACTGACCAACTAGTGTTACGCCTGCATCCCATTAACCCTCTCAACTCCCGGACAGCCATCCGTGACACAACGCTGCCTCGAGGTGGCGGTCCTGATGGCCAATCACCCGTTTTCATCCGCAAGGGACAGCAGGTCATGTTCACCTCATCCGGCTTACAGCGCAGGCCGGATCTGTATGGAAATGACGTGATGGAGCTAAAGCCTGAGCGATGGAACACCCTGAAGCCTACAGCGTGAGCAGGTCCCACCCTTACTTATTTCGAAACTTGCACACTGATACTGTACAAGATTTGAGTACATCCCCTTTGGAGGCGGTCCGCGCATCTGCCCCGGTCAACATCTCGCACTCCTGGAGGCTTCGTATTTCACTGTGCGTCTTCTACAGGAGTTCCAGTCTGTGGAGCCGCTCAACGAGGGACCTTTCCAGGAGGCGTTTGCCATCCTGGTAACCAGTGGCGATGGTGTCCGCGTGCGGTTTAGCAGGACTAAGTGAAGTATACTTACTGAATAGCAAAACTAATGAGGCGTGGGAGGACAAGAGACATAATATTATCAACAATCTTGTGCACACCCATCATCGAATAGAGCTTTGCTTCAAAAGGCAACTGCCGGGGCCGGAGCCGGGATAGTGGATCCCCGGAGCTCAGGACCCGCAGTCCTGGCTCCGGGTTCGGCTCGGTGCCGGTGAAAACCTTCCTTGTCCATATCATTGTGGGAGGATTTTTTTTTCCTTTTAATTGGCACAGCGCCGACCACATATTCTTCGATTCTTCTGCAAAGGAAAGTGCGGAGCGTAGCTCAGTCTGCATGGCTCATCTTGTGTGACCGTGGGTGATCGTGTGTAACCGTGTCCCGGATGAGTCACCGTGGCTGTGCTGTTATTGTTGTTGGCAGCAGCAGTAAATAATTCACGGCGAATCTCAACCCCAAAACATAGTCCTTCGAGCTTTTTCCACAACCGTCGACCGCTGATTTATCTCTTCAAGTTTCTCAAAATCGACACTTCGCCCAGACAGTGTAAGACATGGCCAAACTTATTCATATAGACGGCCGCACAGGCGAAGGCGGCGGTCAGCTCGTTCGGCTGGCAATTGGTCTCTCAGCAGTGACTACTCGACCTGTCAAAATCGCCAACATCAGGGGCAATAGACCTAGCAAGGGCAGCTCAGGGGGAGGTCAAACACTCCCGTGTCACGAACTAGTCAGACTCCGCTAACCAGTTAGGCCTGAAGAATCAGCACGTCACGTCGATACGATGGCTGGCTGACGTAACAGAGGCAGACGTGGAGGGTCTCAGAGTCGGATCCACGACGCTGACATTCATCCCACGCCGAAAGCCATCCCAGCTTGTGCAGAGAAACTTCAAGATCACAGCCGAGTCGGGCGCCGCCAGCACACTACTCATCCTCCAAGCCATCCTGCCCTTCTGCGTCTTTGCTGGCAACGAGAGCAACGAGCCAGTCGTGCTTGATATCGTGGGTGGTACGAATGTTTCCTTCTCGCTGAGTTATGAGTATCTCGATCAAGTTCTCTTGCCAACGCTTGAGGATCGATTTGGTATTGTTGTCGAACGACAGTTGAAGAGTCGCGCTTGGAGTCTGGGGTCGTCCGGCAAAGGCGAGATTACCATAAAAGTCCACCCATTACAGCCCAAGCAAGCGCTGCAATTCCGAACGCGGGACTTTGTCTATCCCACGTCGTGGCAGCTGAAGTCTGTCAATGTGACCATCATCACGCCGAGTTTGTCTCACAGTACACTCCAGGTAGAGATTGTGGCCAGATTGGAGCAGCTTTTTCCGACGGTGGATATTACGTTCAAAGCCACGGAAGACTCTGGTAATGTGGCGAGATGGTACATTCTGCTAGTGGCAACGTCCACCGACGGGCTTCGCTGGGGCCACGATATCCTGGTGTCCATGCCGAAGAAGACCAAGTCACCAGACAAGTTCGCCGCGCAAGTAGCGCAGCAGGTCTGCAAGGGGCTGGATAAGGAGATACAAGTAAGGGGACAGGTTGACGAGCACCTTCAAGACCAAATAGTCTGCTTTCAGGGGCTATGCAGTGGGCTTTCATCTATGCCGAGGGGCAGCTTGCCCACGGAAACGCCCTCTGTATCTGTGGATGAGCAAGGATTCTTGAGCGCAAATATTGAGAATATGCGTCGAGAGAAGGGACTTCAGCCATTTGGCCATGGGTCGCTGCACACGCAGACTGCGCATTGGATTGTCAAGGAGCTGCTGCCCGAGGTCCAATTCTTCGCCAAGGGGGACGTTGTCCAGGGTATAGGCTGGGTATAGGCAAGCAAATTAGAGTTTCGAACTAGGAGAATAGACATACATAGCGTTTTCTTATCATAGCTTTCTCCGATGCAGAGGATCGCCTCAGCCCTGTATCTCCGCGTGTCCGCATCCACCTTCGCGACAGACAATTGCTCATAACCCTACTCACAACATTACTTGTAAAGTCTCTATTGTTCTAAATGATCCTATAAACCGTCGGAAGTTTATTGGTTTCTATACGTTTGACGTCACCTTAAATAAATTCGGACGTCATCTTGAGCAGTAGTGATCAATACTAGGTGCCAACCGCCGGAGGTTCGTCCCCGGGCCGTGATCATGGTGACACAAAACCGCATTTGACGTTTGCTTGCTCACCTTGGGTTTATATAGAACGCCTTTTCCATTAATTCCGCTTCTCTCGCCCACAATACACAACGGCACACAAGTTACCACCCTGTAGTAGCCAACATGTCCCGAAACGTCTGCGTAACCGCCATTGACGGCCAGACCGGCTTCCTCATCGCGGAGCTCCTCCTCAGCAACCCAGACTTCTCATCAAAGGTCGATTCTGTCGTCGGTCTCTCCTTGCACCCAGAGTCCCCTCATGCTCACGAGCTCACCAGTCTCGGCGCCAAAGTGGTGCCTCACCAGCCAGGCCGCGTTAAGACAATGGCCAAGAAGCTGAAGGACTCGGGCTGTGACACGCTCTGCCTCGTCCCGCCCGCTCATCAAGACAAATTTGACATTTCCGTGGAGCTGGCTGAGGCGGCCAGGCAGGCGGGTGTCCCGAATGTGCTGCTCATCAGCTCGGCTGGCTGCGACTATGCGGATCCCAACAGGCAGCCCCGTTTGCGAGAGTTTATCGACATTGAAAGCGTGGTGCTCGAGTCCAAGGGTTTGGCCGACACACCAACGGGAACCTCGCCTTGCGTCATTCGGTACGTCGATCTTCCGTGGTCAAGCGCAAGCAAACATGTATTGACAGATGCAGTGCCGGCTTCTATGCTGAGAATCTGCTGTTGTACTCCCCTCAGGCCAAGGAAGAGGGTACACTCCCGCTGCCGATTGGCAAGCAGCACAAGTTTGCGCCTGTGGCCTTAGGAGTAAGCAAGACCTGGCCTCCTAGTCTACTTGTCACCACTAGCTGACAACCTGTGCAGGACGTTGCTCTCCTCGCGGCCCACGTGCTTACTGGAAAGGGGGCGCATGGTTTTGACGACCGCCACCGCGGACAGATGATGATCTGCACAGGTTCGACACAACTCTTCCCTTGCTCCCATTGTTGACAGTTCCGCTGATGAAGATGGCTAGGTCCAAAATTGTGCGCAGGCGAAGAACTCGCCACGGCAGCCGGCAGCTCCCTGGGCGTGGAAATGAAGTTTGAGAGCATCTCGGCGTAGGTAACATCCACCTTGTGCGAGACAAACAGCACACTTACATCCTACCAGTCGCGAGGCCAAGCGCGTGCTCAAGGCGCAGTCGGACATTGACCAGAGTGAGCAGCAGTACTTGCTCGAGTACTACAGCCTTGTGCAGGAGGGCAATACAAACTACATTGCCACGACGGCCTTTCACGATGTCACTGGTCGGCATCCGACGGAGCCAGATGGGTTCTTCAAGATGTACGAGAACGACATGCGGCCCAAGAAGGTGGCCAAGCGTAAGCATCACTAGATGCGCTGGCCAGGGGGAGAGGTCAGAGTTGTCCTCGAATGTTGCCCATGAGATAACGTAGCAAATGGACTGGAGTTTTCATCTGTAGTGCTTGGCAGTGACTGTGACGAGAGATTGTCAGACTGCATGCCGCCTAGAACAATGGCATTCACTTGGATAAAGGAGACTTTGCCTCTGTCTCAATCAGTAGCCAGAGCTGACTAGGCGACACTGACTTGTCCAAGGGATATCGGACAGTGTGGTCATGGCTGATCTGAAGCACAGTTGACTGATAGTTGAGCCTGAATCGAGATGGCCAAATGCCTACATCTGAACGGCCTTTGGTAAGATTGGTCATTACAACTTTGAGATCGGCATCTTTGATCAAAAAATAGCTTTGTCGTCTGTCATGCAAAAGGGTGAGTGAGGTGAGGTGAGAGACGAAAGGCGAAGCGAGAAAAGGAGCCAATTAGCGGGTGTGGAAAAGGGTTGATCCGGCAGGCCGCGACCGCGACGGTCCATCCTGTCCGTTGCTCGGCCAATTCAGTGACGGTCGGGCTTCAGAATTTCCAGGAGCTGCTGGACCGCATCAGCATCACAGGGACCAGCCATTCCCTCGTGCGCAAAAAGCGACACTCTTCCCTTCACATTGCTCGCGCCCAGCGCTCTGAATCGGATTCCATCGCCATGGCGCCTCTCATCCTGCACAACGTCCCCGACGACGAACTGTACATTGGCGAAGATGGCATCAAGCGTCCATATGCGATGATCTTCAACCAGTATGTTTGCTCAAGATCCGCGCTTCATGTCGCCTGCATCGCAAGCTAACACGCACAGCAGCACGCGTGCTCGACGCGCCGTCGCGGAAAAGGGCTCCTTTGGCAAGTCGACTCGCCGCTCGCGATCTCGGACAGGCACCCCCGGCGCTCGTGGCGTCCCTCAGAACCCAACAGCAGCCGCAGCGGATAAGCTCTTTGGCGAGTGGGTGATGAACAAGCAGTCCCGCGCCAACGAAGAGCAGTCCAGCAACCAGACACAACAAGATGACCCGGCCTCGTCGCAGCAACAGCAGCTGCAGCAGGCCTCCGTGACCGAGAAGCGAAACCAGCCGACAGAAGTGATCCTGCGCGGGTACAGGGCGACAGTGCAACAATATGCCTCCATCGCACACTACGAGTCCCTAGCCGGGCCGATCCTAGAGGACTACCCCCGCGAACCACCCTCAAACCAACGGCGGTACAAATCCCAGCTGCGCGATGCGGCGTACACCCGACGACGCGCCCTGACGCACGAGGAGCACGCCAAGGTCAGCAAGGCCGCCAGCGGGGAGCACTGGGTCAAGATCACGTTTGAAAGCGCCGAGGCGGCGGAGACGGCCTTTTACGCCAGTCCGCAGCGCGTCTTGGGCCACCTGGTCTACGCCGAGCCGTACCGCCAGGCGCCCCCCGCTAGGGACGAGGCGTGCCCTGATCTCGATGCGACAATGGAGGAGCAGCACTTTGGGAGGTCAAAGAGCGTCCCCGCTGCCATCGGCTCCATGGGCCGGCCCAGCGGACCGACGTCCTGGAACAGTCGTCTCTTGGAGGTGCAGAGGGAAGCGTCAGGCTCACAGATCTCCAGCCAAACGGTAGATACTGGCACCGTCTCTAGTGGAACGGTGGATCAGCCGGTTGCTGCTCCTGGCTTCGCTGTCGCGACGACGGCAACGAGTGTCGAACCCCTCGAGATGGAAGACGAGATTTTCTGCCGAAAGATCCCCACGGCGCGCAAGGCTAAGATCCTGCCCGCCGACCAGGCCCTACGCCCGCAGCAGTCCTTTGTCCAGCGATTCGTCGCTGCGATCCCCCTTCTTAGTTGGTTCGGAGGCAGCATCATCGGCAGCGAGGTCCCGCGCACGGAGACGGGCGAGTTTGACTGGAACAGGGCCAGTCTTTACTGGAAGGTGGTGTGGTGGCTGGACGTCACGTTTGGTCTTTTCAAGGGCGATGTCAGCAGCATCGACAAGGACGACTAATGGCACTACGATCGGAACGGGAGCATTGCGTTGGCGTTTTGGTTGTCGCCCTACGACGGGTATGGTATAGATCTTTGGTGTGGTCTTGGGACCCTGCATATGTATATGAATATCGGTACACGAATTATGCCACCACCTGGCACGGTTGTTGTACCGGGGAAATGAAACGCTAGTATGCAAACTGATCAAGACACTGTATTTGAGCATCCTTCTCATCGGGATGAGTCTGGTGAACTCTCGTCCGTGATGAAGTCTGGTGATCTTCGCCCTCTTGGTGGTTCTGGCGTGTCGCTCGCATCCGTCTCTTTGCGTTCACCATCCTCAGCTTGATGATCGTCATGCCTCCTGCTCTGCTCCTCCTCGCCCTCGTCTTCTTCAGGGATCTCACCGTCTACATGCACTAGCCTCTTGGTGTCTTCCTTGCTCGGGCTCCCAGCCATGATCGACTCAAATGTCACATCGGTAGGGATCCGTCGAATCGGCTGCGGCGAGAATGGGCGGGCACCCCTTGGCTTGCTGAACTCGGCGGACATGACACTATCGGCATCGCCAGCTGCCGCATGCGACTCCGCCACCGCGCTCAGGCCCTGGTAGCGATCCGTCGAGTCCATGCCCAAACTGTCGTTCCTCGCGTGTCCCACGCCCCGGGAATTCTCCGACGACGTGTCCGCCAGGATACTCTTGGGCGGCAAGATGGAGAACAACTTGGACGATTCAGCGCCCGAAATGGCCCCCGTGACGTGCGCACTGTGCACATCTTCCTGCGCAAAGAGATCCTGGCCCTTCTCGAGGATGTCGTCTAGGCCACCACCACTCCAGCCCTTTCGCGCCAGGCTCTCAAAGATGTCCACCTCGGCTCGCACGAGACTGCAGCTGGCGTCCACTATCCTCCCGCTCGTGTCCTGGCTCTCTCTGAGCAGTGTCCGCGCGTGATCGGCGTGCAATGTCGTGAGCCCGTCGAGCTTATTCGTCAACTCCACCAGATGCGACCTGAACCGCGCAACGTCCCGTCTTTTCTGCTTGTGCAGCTTCAACCCTTCCTTCTCGAGGCGCTTAATCTCCTTGCTCTGTGTCTTCATCCTCTGCTGGTACGTCTCCTTCTCGTCGTCCACCACCCTCTGCCATCGGTCCAGGTCGTCCAGCAAGGGTACCTCAAAGGAGCGATACACGGTCTCGGACAGGATCTGCTGGTGATTCGCGATGAGGTGCTGCACGCCCGAGGCAGACATGAGCGTGTCGGCTGTGCAGGCCCCCTTGGTCGTAAAGCTCGCAGACATGCTCGCCATCCCAGAGGGCCCCACGGGCTCGGCCCTAGCCTCCTTCAACCGCGCGCATGCTTCGAGCGTAGATCCAAATGTGGACGCGGCGGTGGATAATGTGGCGAGCGCGAGGCGGTACGCTTTCGCGGACGCGACAAGCTCAGCGTAGGCATCCTGCGAGCGCTCGAGGTCTGCCGTGGTGAGCACCGGGTACGAAGGGCGAGGGGGTGGCGGCAGCGGTAGGTTGAAGGATGACAGCGGATTCGCAGTGGAGGCGACTGAATAGACTGGCGAGCCTGGTACGGGAGGCAACTGGGACGGTGTCGGCGAGGCAGGTCGAGACTGCGCGGGTGTAGCCATGTTTATTTGGATGAGGTCGCGAGGAGGGCTAGGACGGGTGAAGCATGCTCTTTTGTCGCGTCATGAGCCAGGTCAAAGCGACAAGTTACGAGGAGGCAGTGACTTGAAAGAAAACACTATCAGCAAAGAATGTTCATGTGAACAAAACCCTCCAAGGTCCAGAGGGAGAAGTGGTTGCCAGGTGATCGTTATCGCACCCCGCTGGGGTACTAGGGCGGGTCACAGCCACGGTCGACAAGGATGACTGACAGCGCTCTTGGTCTCGAATGTCTAGTTAATAGATACCTTGCAGTTGAAGCATAGAATTTACAAGTAACCAAGGTGCAATTGTCTCGCCTGCAATCTTCAAAGAACAGGACATTGTTTAGGCTACTTGTCCGAGGCTAGCATCGCAGCCAGATGGTAGCTTCAGGGTAGGCTTCATTTTGGTTACCCGTGAGCATGTCCAGATGACCCTGCCACGCGTCCTGAATGTATGTCAGAGCTTAGGCAGATTATGAATCAGAGCAAAAGCGCAATTGTAGCCTTGTCTCGGTAAACCAAGGTAGAAGGCACCTAATAGCCATAAATTTTCGACGTTCCGGTTGCATATCACAAGACCGTATCAAGAGCGCCGACTTCTAGGCGCGAATGTGGTGAACTCGCAACCTCCACGTACTCAAGTCGAATTGCTATTCATTCAGCACGCTCTGGGTAGCCTTGCCTAAAATACGTATATCCAGCTGTACAACCTCCACATCCTTTGGGGAACACCCAGCCGCTGTGCTCCCCATTCCTCGGCGCACATCGCCAAGAGCAAGCGCTATGCAGAAACGGCACGACCAGCTCATCCTCGACCTCGCTCAGCGGATCAAGCTGATACACACCTTCCCTCGTCTTGTGCCTGGTCAGGGTGTTGATCTCACGCCACTCAATCCACCGAATCGGCGCCACAACCATCAACGTCCCGCACCGTGAGCAGGGCAGGCCACCCCGGTCCTTCTCTTCTGCGGCCTTGTCGAAGACTTGCCGTAGGTTGGCAAAGTCCTCTGGCAGCAGGTGCTTGAACTCCCCGAGCCGCACACTTCGATAGCAATTCCTCATGACCGCCTCCACCAGACTGGGCACAGCCGACTGACCTGCTCTGCCTACTTCGACTTGCTGTTGTTGCTGTGACAATATGTCCACATCATTGGGATCCACGCCCTGTGCGTATAATTGCTTCCTGTAGATTTGATCCACATCAAGCAGCTCAAACTTCTCGTGCGAAGACGTTGAGGGTAGCTTGAACCTGGATAGCACCCTGCCTGTGGCATCAGATACTTGGAGGGGGGATCTCCCAAGGCGCCTGGTCAGCATCCTCGGCGGCGGTGCCTCTGGCGTGCTCGCTGGCCAGGTGCCAGCTTTCCGTAGACGTTCATACTCCAGCTCAGAGGCATCCGGCTCCGGTGTTGTGCGCTCATCGTCTTCGAGGATCTCGAAAATGTCGTCCCCATGGGCCGGCAAGAGGAAATAATTCGGATGTAGAATCAATGTCTGTAATGAGCAGTTTGAGTCAAGTAATCGTAACAGCTCCACAGGGAGGTGACGAAGTCGGTTCTGTGACAGGTTCAGCTCTTGCAGGTTGCAGAGCTTGCTGAATGCCGGTGGGAGACTCTCGAGTTTGTTGCCGCGCAGACTCATGGTGGTTAGGTTGGTGACATCGAACAAGGCCCCTGGTAGCATCCGCAGCCTGTTCATGGCCAGGTACAGGTTGAGCTTTGGCGGGCTCTGCTCAAACGCCACATCCCGAGACACGACGTCGGGGATCTTCTCAAAGTGAGACAATGGAGCCACGGTCTCGCCGGACAGCTCCTCCAAACCCATGTTCCAAAAGTCGACAGTCTCATTGCCGGTGTCGACGCATTCCCGAATCTTGCGCTGCAGCGCGCGCTCGGGTTCTGTCATCGTCCGCACAGCCGCCTCCAGCTGCGGCAGCTTCAGACGCGTTGGCATACTACACTCCAACTCGAGAGTGGTATCATCATCCTCTGTGCAGTCGCTCGCTAGGAAGACTCCACTGTCATACTGGCGCTGGAGAGTGCGCTTGCCTTTGAACTGCGCAGGCGCACCGGCGCATTCAGCCTCAGGCTCATGCTCATGCTCAGGTTGGTGGTGCTGTTGGTGGCTGTACCACGAGCCCAGATACCGTCTCTTTTGCCGCCCCTCTACATAATTGTCAAGCGCCGGGTCATCATCGCTGGAGAAGATGGCCGGATCACTCGAGTTGAAGACCGAGGCGCCACTGGCTGTGCTGGGCCGGCGCGTCGCGCGTCGTTTCCTGGGGTTGTTGGAGAAGCTTTCCGTCTGCGCGTTCCAACTGACGGCAGGTAACGGAAGACGCGGTAATGAGGGCTCTTCCGCCATGGTGAGGTTGAAAGAGGGGGAGGGATACTATCGCAAGCAGGAGCAGCAAGTTGTTAGCACTGTCAATGCGCTCGACGCGCCTGGGCGGACAACAGGCTGCGGGCGTGAGGTGGAGGACTTTATCGCGCCGGGCCACGCGACTGGACCCTGGATGTGTCTGTTAGGCTAGTACGGATACCGAAGCCACCAAAGTTTGACGGCGGAGTCTCAAGCTCAAGACCTGCGCATTGTGAGGTCTTTTACGAAAATATGTGTGGAAAAATAGGATACGAAGCCAGACTCCAATTAAAATAATTTATGATGTCCCTGAATCACACTTCTGAGGCCAAACAATCGACTTAGTCGAGATCTTCATGTTCGTCCGCCAGCGCTTGGAAAGTGTCGCGCTAACAGCGACAGGGGCTGAAGTAAATAACCACTGCAGGGTCCAGGCCCACGTCATGCTTCACAGACCGACTGGCCCCAAATGTTCCATTCAGCATCAGCAGGTTGAGAATTGGCTGTGCACTTGGTGCGCACATGCCCCCTTCGTACTACGTGGACATGACCAACTGCGACGCCATTTCACAGACAAGCGGCATTTGCCTTGCGGCGATCATGTATTATCCCAGGATGCTCAGTCCCAGTCGCTATCGTCGTCGTCCTGCCTGGACCTACCGGCAGTCCCTGTTTTGATACTCTTGCCCGCTAACCTGTCTTCCTCTGCGTCTTCTGCCGCGCGCCGCCTTTTGACCACCCTCATATCGGAGTCGGGCACTGCGCCGACTTCCACGAGAATGTCATCGATCTTTTGCATGTTCGTCTTGACGCCCCCGATGGTCGCCAGTGTGACGACCTGCTTCACAATGTCCCCGTTCTTATATACCAAGATAGTCGGGCAGTTGCGGTCGGGGTATCCTTCGATCGCCTGGCTTGCTCGTATTTCACAGAATTTGATATCCCCATATTCTGCTGCCGCTTGCCTCCACAGCTCTGACAGCACCCGCGACTCGACGTTGTTCCCCATGGACGAGGTCATGTTGACCAGCACCGGGCCGTTGTTGGAAGCGTCGGTGACATCGCGCTGGTAGTCTGGTTTCGACAAAGGATAGACACTGCCGTGTAGTGCTTTTTGTTGAAACTCGCTCAATTCCGCCATGCGCTTCTTTCTGTACTGCTCGAGGAATTCTTCGTCTTCGTCATCCTCGAGCTCGTCTAGTTCGTCGAGATCTTTGCCTTCCAAGCGGTTCTCGTGCGCAAGTCTTCGTCCCTCGAGGATCGCCTCTTCAATCATAGGGGTCGGACTGGGTGGCCTCTCGGGGATCACGCCTTGCTTCCGCAAAATGTCGTTCCTGGTGCCTGTCAGTACCCCGCGGTGGTGATGGAGGGGCACACAACAAACCATTCTGTGTCGGCGTCAGGGTCGTCTATGGGGACAGCGATGCGCTGGTCATTGGGTGCCGCCATGTTGACGAGTCACTGTGATAAAAGGAAATGTCGAGGGTGAGTGAATGTCTGGTTGATGTGCCTGGCATGCTCTGTCAGCCTTGGAGGCAGCAGCTACATCATTCAATAATTAGAGCTTACCCCGGAGCTGCATAACATGCACAAGAGCACTTGCCTTAATGCACAAGTGCATAAAGTCGGGTCGATGATCCACCGATGCTGCTGGCGCCAATGATGATGCCCTCACGTGCCACCGGGCACCTCAACCCTATGGCACTAGTCCACTTTTGTCAGATTTTTCGAGCTAGAGGCAAACGAGTGCCCCCTCCAGGCCACCGAACTTTTACTTGCCCCAACTCCTCACGCATCTCGCGAGCCTCGAAATCGTCGCCAAATTTCGCCAATCTACCACGACACTCGCAAGATCTCGCAGTCAATTCATTCTCGAGTCAATCCGTCAAAATGGTAAGCGACGCAATTCCGCCCGACCCAAAGTCCAAGCCGACGACGAAATGCACAATCAAGATGGAAATTGGCCACCTCGACCGACGACGTCGATGAAATCTCAGATGGCCGACGCAAGCGACTACAAGCGCACCACTTGGGCGACTTTTTCATCTCGGCATATTGTCATCGGCTTGGGACCGGCTGCAACAAAACACAAATACGATGGCATGAGCGTTATGCTGACGAAATTTCTTTCAGGTTCTCGCCGTCGATCTGTTGAACCCGGCTCCCGCCGCCGAGGCCAAGAAGCACAAGCTCAAGGTTGGTATCCCTCAAGACAGTCACCACGTCATCCATCTAACCGCAGCAACAGACCCTTGTGCCCGCCCCCCGCTCATTCTTCATGGACGTCAAGTGCCCCGGCTGCTTCACCATCACCACCGTCTTCTCGCACGCCCAGACCGTCGTCATCTGCCAAGGCTGCACCACTGTCCTCTGCCAGCCCACCGGTGGCAAGGCCCGTCTCACTGAGGGCTGCTCCTTCCGCAGGAAGTAAACGTGTCGCTCCCTTTTGATGGCGCGACGTGTTTCTTTCTTTGGGTACTTTACGATCTTACGGTATTCTCACGGGTGGTCATCTCGGATCTGCAACGTATCAACAACATGAAAGAAGCATTTTTCTGGAACACGGGCTCTCATGTCTTGTCCGTGTGAAGTGGTGTACTCTGTCAAAACGGGGAAACGGTTGCAGATAGACGATGGAACACCTCAAAACAACTGGGGCGTTTGGGGGGTCTCCGGATATCTTGCATGGCACATGAGTCTTTTCTCGTCTTTCCGTCAACGCGTCTTGTCCCCAAAGGCCTACGCATCCTCAAAAAAGCACTTGCATGGGAAAAGGGAGATGAAGATGGCATTTCACATGAGCGTTGAGCCTCGCGGCTTGCACGCGAGGAAGTGAAACCGCTAGTTGATCGCTACATACCCGGGTGCAGTAGGAGACGTGTACTGTGCTTGCGAATTCACTGGTTTCACAACTCGCTGTCCCATGCTGATGCCTTGTGATGGATCCTCCCTTGGATGAGATGTGACATGTCAACGTCATACACTCATGACTCAGTCGGCGTAGAACCCCAGACTGCGCGTCCCGTGTTTGATGCCTCGTGTTGTATTAATAATATGTTGGACTCTGTACATTACGGATACTTTGAACATAATTTCACAATAGGACCCACGTCTGGTCAATCTTCGAGGGGTCGTTCGCGGCCAGCAGGGCGAGGAGCAGGCGCACCATGCCTAACCGACGCATGTCAGTTTGCGCAGTCTTGTCCCCCATAAGGTGCTCATGCCACTTGATGCGAAGCTCTAGGCTACTGAATAGTTTTGTAATCGCCATAGTTGAATAAATCTGTAGCATCTCCCTATGCAAACAAACAGGCGGTCGTGCCCTTAAGCAACATCTTTCACGACCCTCATATTAGACAATACACTCCCAGCTAGTCGAAGCTTACCACCCTGACCATTCACACGGCATCCATTAGCATCAGTATCACGTGATCCAAGGCACTTTACGCGAAACAGCCGCGTCGACGCGCATGTCAGGGTCGATGTGGACCCACGCGAGCTAGCCTCGTTCCTGCAAACCTCTCCAGACCCCAGCCCCTTCATGCAGTGCCCTGATCTTCCTCATTTCTCTTCCATCTCGCCTCAGTGACGCAACCAGAGAAAAGAACAATTTAACCCCGCCAGTACACGGACCATCTCCACTCTACTCTTTTCATTTCTTGCGACACATCACTCTTTCAAAGCAATTGACTGTGGTTGAACTCCAACCCAGTTGTCCGGACGACGATAGCGGCTCAGCCTGAGACAGACTGACGACACTGTGCATCCGGCCATCCTGCCAGACCATAATTTTCCCTAACTCACCAATTTACACAACCACAACGGCACCATCGTGCGACAAGCGAATATCTTTGTCTACCTAGATTTTTTATCGGCGACAAAATGTCCAACCCTCGCGTTAAACGTCCTTTCGCCGGTGCTGCCGCCGACCCGTCGCAGCGCCAGATCACCTCCTTCTTCAGCAACCGCGGCCAATCGGGCGAATCACCACCCGTCGAGTCTATCCGCGGACCTCCCCTGCCTGCGAGCGTCGAAGCCAACCTGCTCAGCGTCGGCATGCGCGTTCGCAAGTCCGTACCGGAGGGCTACAAGACCGTTGGGCCCAGCGCCTTCAAGCTCTGGACAGACAACACCCGACCTTCCTCGCTCGGTGCACAACAGCAGCCCAAGCCGCAAATGAAAAAGCCCACGCCTATACTCTCGCGAGCCACGTCGAGGGAATTGACACCGTTTTGCGGGATCAACAGGATTGGCGGCCTGAGCGAGCAGCCTGACTCCCGCTACGAGGACGAAGAGCAGGAACTTCCTGGCCTGGACGAGATTCCCGGCTTGACCATGTCCCAGGAAAGCAACGAGAGCGCCGTCACGGATGCAAGCTCTCGCAAACGTTTTCTGGACGAGGATGAGGAGGATGAAGACATTTATGAGGATCACGCGCGGAACTTGGGGGACTCGGCCAATGGCCGGATCATGGCTGTTCCTCGCTCCCGCGTCAGGAAGGCCACCTCATTCCAGCAGGATCAGGAGAACATGGCTATCGACAGCGACTTTGACGATGCCGACTTTTTGGTGCACATGGCGGACTGATGAACTCTGTACGGAGGAAGGACCGTTCTGTTCCATCACGTGTATTTGCTCTTTGTATGTGGTGCGAGGCGTTCAGGAATGCAGTAAGTCTCGGGTCGAGCTTGTGGAGGATACCATTGCTTTTCCTTTTTTTTTTTTTTTGGTTCTACAGACTACTGGGTAAAGGGGTATCGGATAGTAGTCTTACACTTTTTGGAGTAGTACAACAGAATATGCTTACATCCCCACAAAGGGTTCCCGAAACTCGAGAAGATCACGTTGTCCGTAGAACTCACCCACGACTGTCAGTATCATGTTGAGCGTAGCGCGCATGTTCATCCGCAGACGCAGTTTGGCCGCTTCCTCTGGGGACGGTTGGTCTTCCTGTTCCGCGTCCGCGTCGAGTTGTGCGAGGAGGCGGGCCTTGACGTCGTCCATGGTCTCGTCAATCTGACCTTCCTCCTCGTCTGAAGAGTTGGAGCCAATGTCCATGGCGACGTCTTCGTCTTCTTCCGATACTTCACCATCTTCATGCTCGCTCTCTGGACGCTCTCCCCCGGATGGTTTCTGGGGTGCGGGGTATTCTTGCGCAGCGTCTTCAAGATCTGGAGTTGTTCGCTCCTTTGTCTTGTGAGAGCCTTGCTGGGCAGCGCCACCCTCTTCTTCGTCGCTGCTGTTGTCGAGGTTCTCGTGAACGCCCAACTGGCCCTCGTCAAGCTCGTCCCGTAACGCTGCCATCTCCACCAGGCTGCGTCCCAGGAGCACGGCTCGCTTTCCAAGATCGCGCAGACAGCCAATCTCAGCATAGTCTAGCTCTCCCCTCTCTGGCAAGCGGGCCAGGAGAGCCCACAGCCAGCGACTCGTGCGCTCCTCAATGTTGTACCCGTTCTGCAGAAACTTGCCGCCCAGCATGACACGCAGTATGCTCAGTATGGAGTCTTTGGTGAGGATATGCATTTGGACGGGGTGCGGATCGGTGGCGCGCAGAAGCTTGGACCACACAGGTATGGTTGTTGAGCCTCGACCCAGGGGTCCAGCCTCGAGGACGAGAGACGGGGGTAGGCGAGACAGAGCATCGACGGATGGTTCGCTGCCGAGGAGCGATCGCATCTTGTGGTATTGCGCAAGAAGAGAGGTAAAGTAGGCGTCGTGTATGGCTACCTCGGACGCTGCGTCCTCTTCAAGTGCCGGCGCATCCTCTGGATCCAAGTCGGGTGCACCAATGTAGGCGCCGTCCTCGTACCAGCCTTTCGAATCATCTACGTAGTCCTCGTGAGAGTTTTGCGCGTAGTCGTCGTCGTCTCCGTCGTCGTCCTCGTTCGTTTGTAGATCAGCCGGTAATCGCGGTCCGATCTGGACTTTAGGGGCACGAAGGATGTGCGGTATGGATTCAGCTTGCTTCCTGTACAGGTACTCACCATCAGCTTTCATGTCTGCAGGAAGCTTTGTTCAAAACGTTCAGCATTATGCGAAATACAGGGTAACTGAAAAACGGGGGGAGAAAGGTAGGGAGGCAGAGCTTACCTCACGGAGCGCAGATACGCCATGGCCTCGGCATCGTCCTCAAAGTCGGACTCTTCGCCCTCGGGAATGGTGGTGCGCGAGGCATAGCTGGAGAAGACGTAGCGCTGGCCTGATGTCGGGTCTATGCTTGACTGCTGGTGGTGGTTCTGTCGCGATCTGGAGTTGTGGTTGCCGCGTGCGCGTTTGGGCGTTGGGTCGGAGATTTCGCCCTCGTCGAGATCTGTGTGGTCGCGTTTGGAAGTCATGCTACAGCGGTATGGTGGGTAGATGTAGATAGATGCGGTATCCAAAAGTTGGCACAAGCTTGCCGCGATGGTTGAAGCTTAGCAGATGGATCTCACACTCTTGTCAGAAAATGTTCAGCGGAGTTGGCACGGTTTGTACTTTGTACGCCGTCGCAAATTGCGCTACCCTAGACCTCAACAGCTCCTGGGAGCCATGCTCCTAACTTAAGAACATTCGCGCTACACACCATTCAATCAAACCTGAGTTTTAGTCTAGACTTCTTAAAAAGATAGACTTCGAATGTGGATCCAATACCAGCCAAGTTAACTTTTCTCACGTCCCACCGTCATCACTCCTGTTCGTCGTAGAATATGCGAAACACGCTGTCCGAGATCAACTCACGATCCGCAGGTTCCATGGCAAAGTGCGCCGCCGAATAGTCGGAGCAATCTGTCTTGCGCCTCTTTCTTTTAGGTCCACTCTGGTATTGGGTTTCCTGATGGCTGGCAACGGCCCCTGGCATGTCCATCCCCGTGAACATTGGGGATGGCTCATTCGAGCTGTCCCATATGATTTCCTGGCCCATTAGATACCCATCGCCAGCATAATTAAATGCACTCGGGTCGTCAAAGAACACATCTGAGCTGTTGGATGACTCGGGCGAAGACGAGGAGTAGGTTGCCGGTGATGTATGGGAGGCCAGAGCGAGGAAGTCCAACAACCCCAGACTTAGCCAGGAGCTTGGCTCGCCGTTCCAAGGATCAAGCGATGGTGGGAGCGATATTGATAGGTTCCCTGGTTTCTGTTCTTGTACATGTGGTGGAAAGGGCTCCTGCGTTTCTAAACGATTCCAGTAGTTCTCGGTTGCTTCTTCATCCACGCATAGTGATTTGCTCGCTCGTCGTTGCTGGGCCCAGTACGGATTCAAGCTGCACGTTTTATTCGTTCGAGCGCAGTAGGAGCATGGCAACGTTGATTTAGAAGCTATACACGCATCAGTCCATGGTCAATGATGATCTTGCTTCTCATGGAGACGTCGGAAAACGCACCACCTGCCGAGTCCTGGTTGGAGAAAACCGGCGCGCCATTTTGCTTCTTATTGATAAGGAAACCATCACACGCCTTTTTTGACCGTCGGCACTGTTCACACGAGTGATTTTGGCGTCTTTTCTCCATCAGGGACGAACGAGAAGTGCGGACTTCTGGGCCCGGCGGATGTTCCTGGAAAAGGCGAATTGTATACACAGATGTGCTGAAATAGCACGCAAGTTAGGCTGGCCATGGCCTCGACTACGTAGTAGTACTATGTATACCGGCACTCTTCCGACAAGTTCATATCGTGTGGAGTTTGACGGGACAATTCCGACATGTGGGGACGAGCGCCAGCCCCCATGGGGTAAAGGAGAACATACCGGAACTCCGGGGGCAGGTTGCTCCCAGCAAACCTGAGCCGTCGGTAGCATGTATCCCTGCATCAGTCACAGCTCAACTGGGACAAAAGGTCCTGAGTGATTGGCCATGGAGCTCGGCGAAAAGAATCTGCCCAAACAGGACATTGGGGCACGAGGCTAGGGAAACTTAAGCCCGCCCTTGGCAGACTGCCGGCGATAATGAAAAAGATCGACACAAGCATGCCACTCATTGCATTGCACGCGTCGAGAGGCAGGGGGGTCAAAGGATTGGCGGTGCGGTCGTTGATGCTGAGTGACAGCTTACACAGTCATTGCGTACTCGCTCAAGTTGGCCACGTGCATTAATAGATTGGGTTAAATTCTTAGTTACGTTCTGCGTGGGCCGTGGCAGATCAACCCGCGAGGGCCAAGCAGCTGCCGTCGCAAGTGCCGGCGTCGATCCACCGCAATGCAACACAACGCCTGGCCAGCAATGACTCGCGACACATCAGGCCATGCATTGTCTAGACCTCACTCTTTCCATGCGTCCGGATGCTTCGACCAGACACCAGGGTGGAGAGATCTCCAAGCGGCAGAGCAAAGGGGAACTCGACCGACAGCAGCACCTGCGCAAAGAATATGTACCAGCCGAGCATGGACACCGCGAAAAGCACGCCACCCCCGGCATGCTGGAGCGTGAGCGACAAGCCCAGCTTGCCCTTGGAGGCGGCGAAGAAGGAAGCTGCCAGGGTGGCGACTGGAGACTTCGTTAGCAGGCGTCCTCGCATTGTCAGATCATTCAAGTTCACTCACATGTCGGCACCAACAACGTCAAGATGCCCAGAAGAACCACATTCGTCCTCAGACCAGCGACGGCGAGGACGAAGCATACCATGGCCATGGCCACCAGGAAGAACGCAAAGGTGGCAAAGAACTCCGGCTCCTCAAGTCCTTCTGCTGGGTTGCCCGTGGTAGAGTAGGTTGCGTAGGCTCCGTATCCAGGTATGAGTGTCCCGCCGAGAGAGAGCCAGTATCCGCCAAAGACGAGGAAGACAAGGGCGGGAAAGGTGTTTCCTGTACACGTGTGTGTTAGTCTACCTTGTCCGTGCATAGTGCGCCAAAGACAACCACGTGAGACGTACCAAGAATCCATTCTCCAACGCCACCCAGAACCATAAGAAGACCACCCAGGAAAATGTACGAGGCGCTGGGAGAAGTGTCAGTGGCTGGTATCTCTCTCTGGTACAAAGGCACGGAACGCTTACACGTTGGCTACTCCTGAGATCCCACCGGCACCCTGCCAACCAAGCAAGACCATGGATAGAGGTGTCGTGGAGAGGATAAAGCCAGCGAGACCTGCCAATGTCAGCGATCATTCGGGAGCACCTCGACTCAAGCCATACCAATCGGGGCTGGGTTGCCAAAGGTGGCTCGCAGCTTGCCTGACACCTGGTTCTTGGGGCCGAGGTAGAGCTGCTCGAACATCTCAGGGGTGATGGAGATGGCACCGGCCGTCCGCACACGGTCGAGGCCATCGTCGCCATGAAAACCATTTGGCTTTGTGTTGCTGACGTCGGACATGATGATGGTGATGAGGAGGAAGAGGGAGGAGGATGAAGATCGGTGTAGTGTCGCACAGACTGCCGTTTGTATATCGACTGAATCAAATCACAAGTCTTGCTTCTTCGCTCCGAGAGCGGATACATTGTTATATATATATGTATTCCCGGAACAAACAGTTGCCGGACAGATGGCTACGTAGATGCACTAGGACACTCTATCCCACTTCCCCATACCCCAGATTGTTGCGTTCTGGGGAAGGGAAAGTATGGAGGCGTGCCGTGATATCCCCCTTGGCCGAGCAACGCAACGCCAAAATGATCAATGACACGACCATTGTCAGACATGCGTGGTATGGACGACGTCGCTAGTGTCCGCGCGAGGCCTCATGAGGTCCGTGACTCCGTGGAGGGTGAGTCCAATCTCCAATCTCCATGTGAGCGGTTCCGTTCCTCGATCGTGGACAGTGCCTCGGTTCCGCCTTATTTCCACTCCCAGCTCCACGAGCTAACGATTTCAGGGTGGTAGCAAAAGCATTACGTACCGTGTACGTGCAGGACATGGAAGCGTGGATCTCAACTTGCTCCGCACCCTCGACAAAGCTCCGGGCTGGCCATGCGGGGTATCCTGAGGCGGACCGCCCATCTCTTACTAACTGTGTCCAAGTGTACATGATCTTATGTGCGACCAGCAAACTATGACAGATTTGCTCCAAGTGAGGGGGCCCCCGTGTCCGCGTGCAGGTTCTCCTCGTTGGCCCCCGGGCCAATGTCGTCCGAGTGAAGACATGACAATGTATAAAGGATTCACCAGAGTGCCCCAACGACCACGCATCTCCCCAAGGACTTGCTCTCTTGAAAGTTGGCCTCGAAATACGTACAGAAATGGGATCCGTTGCTGCCGCGGACGAGGCTCCCTCGCACATGCGCTGCGTGCCGGGCTCCGTCAACATCCATGTAGCCACGCAACCAAGCACGCCTCCCAAAGGACCCATTGATCCCGACAAGGTTGCATCCACTATTGTCGAGCTAATCAATTCGGCCCTGGAGAAGCAAGACTTGCCGAGGCTCGCTGGTCTGTTTGTCGACAACGGATACTGGCGAGATCATCTGGCCCTGTCGTGGGCATTCCGGACGCCCTGCTCCCCCCCGGCGATCCAGCAATTCCTGCAGGACTCGGCTAAATCGAGAGATGGGTTCCGACTGAAGAGCGTTGCCATCAACTCGACCTCAAAGGACAGGGCGCCTCAGATCACCAAGCTCGACAATGAGGGCAAGGTCGATGGCGTGCGCTTCTTCACCACCTTGGAGACGGCCATTGGTCGGGGCAGTGGCCTAATTAGGGCAACGGAAGACAATGGCCAGTGGAAGATATACACAATGTACACTCGCCTCGACGAGATCAAGGGCCACGAGGAGGCCCTGAACCAGAGACGACCTCGCGGTGTCGATCACGGCGGACATCCAGGACGCAAGAACTGGGCAGAGAGACGACAGGAGGAGTCCAACTTCTCCGAGAAGGACCCAACTGTCCTCATTGTCGGTGAGTAGGATGCTAGAACCCTTGATTGAAATCACCGTAGCTAACCTCTTCCGAGGCGCCGGACAAGCTGGTCTCACCGCTTCAGCGCGTCTCAAGATGCTTGGGATCCCTGCCCTCATGATCGATTCCAACGCCCGCATAGGCGACAACTGGCGCAAGCGCTACCACCAGCTCGTCCTCCACGACCCGGTCTGGTACGACCACCTGCCCTACATGCCGTTCCCCGCGCAGTGGCCCGTCTTCACGCCCAAGGACAAGCTCGCCGACTTCTTCGAGGCGTACGCGAAGCTCCTCGAGCTCGACGCCTGGACAAGCACTGAACTCGTCAAGACCGAGTGGGACGCCGGGACCAAGACCTGGAGTGTCGCCGTCAAGAGGGCAAAGGCCGACGGCACGAGCGAGACGAGGACGCTGCACCCCAAGCACCTGATCCAAGCCACGGGCCACTCCGGCAAGAAGAACGTGCCCGACCTCCCGGGTGCGGCGGATTTCCAGGGTCACCGCCTCTGCCACTCGTCCGAGTTCCCTGGCGCCCGCCAGAACGGCCAGGGCAAAAAGGCTGTCGTCGTCGGCTCGTGCAACTCGGCCCACGACATTGCGCAGGATTTCCTCGAAAAGGGCTACGACGTGACCATTGTGCAGCGCTCCAGCACGCACGTCGTGTCGAGCAAGGGCATCACTGACATTTCAAACAAGGACCTATACTGCGAGGGAGGCCCGCCCGTCGACGACGCAGATCTGCTCGTCCATGGCTTGCCGACCTCTGTGCTCAAGGCAGGCGAGCGCGCCACGCGTCGCAAGCACGAGGCGCTCGACAGCGAGATGCTAGCGGGTCTGGCCAAAGCTGGCTTCAAGGTCGACAAGGGGCCCGACGACGCGGGTCTCATGTTCAAGTACTTTCAGCGCGGCGGCGGCTACTACATTGACGTGGGCGCGAGCGCGCTCATCGCGTCGGGCGACATCAAGGTGAAGCAGGGCCAGGAAATCGAGCGCGTGCTGCCCAACGGACTGCGGTTCGCCGACGGGTCCACGCTCGAGGCGGACGAGATTGTGCTGGCGACGGGGTACCAGAACATGCGGACGCAGACGCGCCTCATGTTTGGCGACCACGTGGCCGACAGGGTGGACGAGGTCTGGGGCCTGAACGAGGAGGGCGAGTTCAGGACCATCTGGCAGCCCAGCGGCCACCCGGGCTTCTGGTTCCATGGCGGCAATCTTGCGCTCTGTCGCTACTATTCCAAGCTGCTCGCGCTGCAGATCATGGGGCTGGAGGCAGGTCTGTACAAGGAGGGCGAGATTTAGCGGTAGGGCCAGATGACATGGCGAGAAGTGCTGAATGTGATAAGAAGTCCATTTCATACGTAGCAGAAGACCTTGGAACGAGAAGAGGTGTTCTGAGATTGTAATTGTGGTCAAGATGTAGATGGTGTGTGATGTGAAATGGTCTTGATCGTGACCCACAAAACTTTAAGCACCTCAACCGACTCTGCCTTCATTGCTCCCCTCGAAATCACCAAGTCGCCAACCCAATGCGCGACCGAATATGAGAGCGGCACTCACGCGCCGCGCGGCGCAATCCTCTCCAGCGTCCCCTCGCTGCGTACAATGCCTCCAGCGCAGACGGCAGAGCACCTACAACCACTTCATCACGCAGAACCAGACACCCCCCGAACCAGGCGCCATCCGTCTCGCCGTCAAAGACAACATTGCCACGTCCAATCTGCCGACATCATGCGCGTCCTCGATCCTGGCCGCGCATTCATCGCCCTACGAAGCGACCATTGTGCGGCAGCTGCGAGACCATGTCAACGCACATGTGGTGGGCAAGACGAACATGGACGAGTTTGGCATGGGCTCGCACTCTCTCAACTCTGCCTACGGCCCCGTCCGCAACCCCGCGGGTCAGGACCTCTCGACAGGTGGCAGCTCCGGAGGCAGCGCTGTGGCCGTCCAGGTCGACGACGCAGACATTGCCCTGGGCACGGACACGGGAGGCTCGGTGCGTCTGCCGGCAGCCTGGACAGGCTGCGTGGGCTACAAGCCTAGCTACGGCATGCTGTCGCGACATGGCGTCGTCCCCTACGCCAACTCGCTCGACACAGTCGGTCTCCTCGCGCGAGCTACGACACCCATCCGCGCCTCCATCTTCGACAGCGGCATCTACCAGCTCACCGACCCCAAGGACCCGACATGCCTATCTCTCAAAACTCGGCACCGCTGCATAAAAGCCACACCACATACGCTCCCTGATCTGTCCGACATCACGATTGGGCTTCCCCTCGAGTACAACATTGCCGAGCTCGACCCGTCCATCCGCACCGCCTGGAGCCAGACTGCCGAGCTGCTCGCCGCCAATGGTGCCACTGTCGTCCCCGTATCTCTACCCACCACCCCCGAGGCGCTGTGCGCATACTACGTCCTCGCACCCGCAGAGGCCTCCTCCAACCTCGCAAAGTACGACGGCGTCCGCTACGGTGTGCGCAGCACCGCGTCAGACGCCGCAGGCGACACGCTCTACTCGGAGACCCGAGGCGTCGGGTTCGGCGACGAGGTCAAGAGGAGGATTCTCCTCGGGACATATACGCTCAGCTCAGAGGCGATTGACAATTACTTTTTGCAGGCGCAACGAGTACGCAGGCTGGTGCAGAGAGACTTTGATCGCGTGTTCAGGTTGGCGAGTCCGCTCCACGAGCCGGTGCAATTTGACTTGAGCGACATGCCCGCCACGACGCGTCTGCAGGACAAGACGGGCCCGACGCAGGTGGACTTTTTGCTGTGTCCAACCGCGCCAACATGTCCGCCCAGAGTGGAGGATGTCAAGACGCAGGGCAGCGTGGCCTCGTACACGAATGATGTGTTCACGGTTCCGGCGAGTCTGGCTGGTCTACCGGCTGTGAGCATCCCCGTGCGCTCGCAGGACCAAGGGACGGCGAAGCACGGCGTGCCGGCGAGCATGCAGATCATCGGGCAGTACTGGGACGACCGCAGGGTGTTGGCCCTCGCGGAGTTGATGGAGAGATTGGGTGTATGAGTGTATCATGTAATTGTATTCAACACATGTATATATAGTACATGTATCATGGGTATCATTTGGTATCGTAACATCGTTTCGTCTGCCGCAGCCATCAAGTGCTACTTCTCCGTCTTTCATCGTCATCGACGTCCATGTCCTCGCGCGCTTCGACCTCGCCTTCGCTCCGATCGGCATCCTCGCCATTACCGTTCACTTCTTCCGGCTGTGCGTCGTTCTCATTCTCCTGCTCGTCCTCTTCATCCAGCATATGCTGCAGAGGGCTGATCCTCTCCTCGAGCTGGCCCAGATCCTCGAGTATCTCCCTCTTGGGCATCTTCCACAGACTCGTCGCGCAGATACGGTCCTTTGTCAAGAGGTCGTCCACAAACTCGTCAATATACGTCAGCGACGTGCCCTGTCGGTTTTTCCGCCTTAGCTTCCGCCTGTCCTCGAGGTACGGCTCCAGCTTGGCGTAGACGTCCTTGGCCGGCCGCGTGAGCCGGAGGTAGAAGCACGCCAGCGCCCGGAGGTACTTGAACTTTTCGCCGCCATACGCCAGGTACATATCCAGGATGGCCTCGCTGGGCGCCAGCTCCAGGAGCTTGAAGGCCAGGCAGAGGAACGGGGAGGGTCGTTGCGTCCCGCCGAGCGTGCCGCCCACGAAGGAGACGTGGTCCACCACGCGGTCGACAATGTCGGCCTCGTTGAGGGCGAAGCACTGCTCCTTGTAGAAGTAGGAGTCGACGATGCGGTCCTTGACGGCCTTTTCCATAATCGTCGCGGGGTTGAGACCGTTGGGCGCGAGCGAGGCGGAGCTGCCGCGCTCATCGAGGAAGCGACGGGCGTCGACTTGGACAGAGCCCGACATGATGGGCTGGCTGGTGGTCGCTGTTCGCTGTCGGGTGCGGGGAGGTGTGCGCTCACGTTTCGAAGAGTGGATGTGGGTGTGGCGTCGCAAGTTTCTTTCATCCATCGCCAGCCGCTCCCAAATGCGCCATGCAAAGCCAAAAAGTGCAGGGTAGGCTCGTTGCCCCGCCAACAAAGTCAACAAGGCACATGCATGAAGCAGCGCCCTCCACGTCCTGCGCTCAGGAAAGCCATTGTCGTGTCGTGGCCCAACATCTTCCACAAATCTTTACATATTGCTATAGCTAGCCGGTCCATCAATCAAGATGCGCCGGATACTCCTCACGCCGTCGCAAGTCTCTGTGCTGGTCACCAGCCTTGTCGGTACGTTGCACGAGAGGCGGGCGCAAGCAGCCCACTCCAGACGGAAAGAATGACAAGTTCACAGTGATTTCGTGCACCCTTGCCCTCTTCCTGAGCGGCTACGTGATTCAACAACGGACACTACGAGATCTACGGTCTGCGATCAAGCCACGAGCACCTCGACCAAAGCCACCACAGACCTACCTGCCCGCCAAGTTTCGCAAGAACACGCGCACACTGGAAGATGGAACGATAATAGAGGTGGAGGGCGACGCTGAGGCCAGCGAAGGCCAGCAAATGCAGCGAGAGGTCATCATCGAAGTAGCACCAACAACCGTCCCAGAACCGGTGGCGCAACAACATGTGGCGGCACCGCCTCGGCACCGTGGGGTCGAGAACGCCAACCCGTCGTCAAGTCACCACCACCACGATCAGAGCGAGGTGCCCTCCAACAAGCTCGCCATGCTCGACGCGCTCAAGTCGCAGGCGGCGCAGAAGTCGTGGGCGGTAGAGCACCCGGATCCCATGGCCAACAGCAAGGTGCCCGTCACCAGGGCGGAGAGGAGACGGCTGATCAAAGAGGAGATTCACCGACTGTCGCAGCCAGACGAGCAGGTGTACTACCAAAGGAGGCTGTGGTAGGGGCTTTCGTGGGTGTGTGATGCACGCGGCGCGGGCTTCATGTGATGGTGCATTTTTTTGGGATATCTGGCGCATGGTGTTCATCTTGGAATCTACAATGATAGGAGTTCAATGGATGATGATTGCCTGATTTTTGCTGCAAGAGACTTCGGAGTGATCCTGAACCGGACATTACAAACTGAGCAGGCAGGCAGGCAGGGCTGCGATGCAACCCTTCAGGTCCGTCGTCGATAAGGCAGCCCTCTGCACGGCAGCTGGGCGTCTATGACAGGTCCAGCACTGTCCCCAAGAATCGGCAGTTCAATTGTTGGACGCGCAGTCAGGCAATGTGAGTGCCTTGGCCATGACGACAGTTAAAGTGGTTGCATGAACACAGGATGCTGAAAGGCTGCAACAGCCTGTTTCACGTTTTCAACGCCAGGTCAAGACGAAGCTAAGGTCGGCACACCCGCCATGCTGACGCCACGGCCGTGAGACGAGGCGTCTTGCCTCACACGCCAGTCCGGAGTCTGGGTCGGTTTCGAAACGTTGTGCTGGCTGGTTGGTGGAGAAGCGCAGCTGTCAGGCAGGATCTCCGTGGAAGTGAGCGAGCCGATAGAGTGGTCAGCCAGCCGTCGGAGTGTTTAACCGTTAGCCGGCACGTTGGCTGATCGTGATCGAGCTTGGAAGCATCGTGGCCGGAACATGCCTTGATTATTGCAAGTGCCAAGATGAGTCCGCTCACTCTGAATCTCCGCTCCGCCCGTGAACAGCTTCGTAGCAAGGATCATTCTGATGCGCGACCCGCTCGAGTGTCAACGAATGGTTGACTACACTGGACACATCTGGGACGCTGTGAGCCATCGATCAAGAGGATGGCTTTGCATCGTGAAGTTAGTGGTGGACAGAGTTGCAAAGCAGGGCAGATGCGCAGGTTGGACGTGCAGTACCAAGAGCCAATAGTTGCATGTTGGGGTCATGTGGAGGACGCATACGGGAAATTACACTCAACATTGTATCTTCATCATTATCATCATCGCATCATCATGAGATATTCACGGACTGAGGAGAATGAGACATTTTGACACGGTCCAGGGCTCTCGTGGTCAAGGACCGCGTTCCAGCCCACCCGTGCACGTCGCGAGCTTCATCAAGCCGCGACCGTGAAGATGTGTTTTCGCCTTCACTCCAAGATCCCAGGCCCCAAGGAATGTGGGCGCGGGGACACTTGCGTGATGGCGTCGCATTCGGATGGGGCCCGAATGTTTTCGCCTCCCCCTGGCGATAGGCTATAGCAGATGAGCCTAGCTGATATGCCTACCACGCGCAGAGATATCATCTTATATCATTGGACAGCGGCAGTAATTAGCAATGATACTGCGCATATAGTACATGGCGGTGATATAATAATGATTTAATGGAGCACCAAGTGAGTGATGCCGTGCCTGAATGTGAACTGGAGGCGGGCGCTAAGGTCCGTTCACTTTCAGTGCTGCACGGCAGTGGCTCCAGCGCACACGTGGACTAAAACGGCATGGACAGGGTCATCCCAGACCTCCAGTTGTACGTGCGCAGCGTACCGCCGTACGTACTACGTAAAGTACGTATTCTCCGAATTCTCCTCCCCAGATCCTTGAAAATTCGCAATGCCATGGCATCAATCATCATCTCCGGTTGACTCACAGGGTCCAGTCGCGCGGTTGCTTTTTCTCATCCTTCATTACACGCAGAAATGGTACAGTACCACGGCAGCCAAGTCTTCGTGGTGGCTCTGCCCAGCCCAGTGCCAAGTGTGACTCCAGTCACGGCAGCCTCGTAAATGGAAGCACCGCCAAGCCTGTGGAGTGCGAAATGACGGATGCCGCGTCGGAGGGTGATCTGGGCCTCGTGGGTCTTGTCACTTGGACGTTCCGAATGCCGAGAGGAGCGAAACAGAACGATCAAACGGAGGATACGTCCTTTTTTTCCGCACGCTTTTTTCGGAGTGCCCGTGAGCACTTGTAACAACTCCACATGGAAGACTACTAGCTGGCAAGAGTCACGAAATCACACAATGAGCAGATCAATGAGAGGTGAGCTCGTCCATTCTTTTGGGAGCAAAGTCGTCGACTATGGATTACAAAGAGATAAAATATGTGTCTCGTAAAGAAGCCTCCCCATCGTATATCCCCCGTGTAACAGAAAGACCACTGCCTGTGGTGGTTGGTATCTTGGTAAAACAGAACGTGCCCCGTGGCCCCAGAGAGAATCCCAGTCTTTTGATATCATACCATGCATGCCCCATGCATAATGATGCCAGTACTCCATGCTTGAAACCCAACAGCAAGATAATGAAAGACCGTAGTATATCGTGACAAGTGGAAAAAAAAAAAAAAAGAAACAAGATGAAAAAAAGGTCCGTGGTGGAGAATAATGTCGGTGTGTCGAAAAATTACACCGACGCTTCGGCATCGACCTCCTCCTGGCGGAAGACAATGCCTCGTCGTTTCCAGCCGCCCCTCTTGACAAAGTCCTCGACGCTGTTGAGCTTCTTCATGGTGGGTCGTTGGATGGCGGCCGGCGTCGAGACGGCACGCTTGTAGCTAAAGTTGGGCGTGTCCATGACGGAAATTCTGTTCTCGTCGTCCTGCTCCTCGGCGGCGGGCGTGGGCAGACCGTCCATGGTCCGGATGGTCTGGATGGTCGACTCGGACCACCGCGACTGCATCCCGGGGCGCTGTGCTTGCTGGCGGAAGAAGAAGTAGTCCGTCGCGGCATCTGGTGTGGCGTCGGTGGAGCACGCGTCCTCTGCTGGGCTCGCGTGCGGTGGCATCTCCATGACGAACTGGTTCAGGTCCACGTCGTCGTCGCCTTCCTCCTCCGTGTCGTCGAAGCTGTCCCCATCGCTGTCCTCGACAGCAACGTCGTATGTGGGTTGTTGTGGCGAGAGTGTCTGTTTGAAGGGCCTCTCGTGTAGCCTAGGTGGTGCTGTTTGATATACGTTGCCAGATTGTTGTGATCGAGGGATGATGGCGGTCACGACTGAGGCAGTCGAGTCGGAGGAGGACAGGGAGCAGCCGGAGAGTGTTGACCCTGAGAAGGAGATCTTGCGAATGTGGAGGTCACGAGGACGTTTTGAATCCTTGCGCTTCTGTGAGAAGCTGTGGCCGAGGACGTGCATCTTGTCGACAGCCAGTTGTTGTGTCACCGTCAATGTCGTGTAAGTGATGTGAATCCCGTGCTGGTTGGTATGCGGGTCGAGAGTATTGAGCGAGGTCGAGGGTGATGTTGTAGTGGTGGAGTATAGTATATTAGATAGATGACTGGAAGTATGTAGGTATCAGATCTCGACACTCCAGTTTCATGTACAACAATAGATGACTCGAGACGACAGCGGCAGCTGGATGAATGGGAGGGACCATGATGCTATATACAGATAGGCCAGGCAGCCTAGACAGCGGGCGGACGGACATTGTGGAGTGAGTGACCGCTGCGAGACCCAAGGGTGGTGGGTGTGGATCCCCTCAGCCAAGAAGTGAGTGCGCGTGCGTGCGTGCGCGCACCCCGCCGGTGCCGAGCCAGATGATGAGAAGATGACTTGGCGTCCTGGGTCCCCGTTAATCACCACTGGGAGAAAAAAAAGAAAAAACTTCATTTTTGGCCGTAGTGCCCAAGATCTCGGCTGCCTTGGCTGGCACTGGGCGGTCACCTGCTGGGCTCACCCCTGCTTGTCTGGCTATTAACCATCGCGCTAACAGTGGCCGTGAGCTTCGGGCGGTCGTGATTTGCAACGACGGACGTCATGATGTTTCGTGCCTGTGTGCCCGACCGACACTCAGGGTCTCGCTGGCATTTCGCAGGCGTCACTTGCATTGACGAGCGTTTAATTATTTTGATAGCAGTGAGCATCCTCGCGTCGACGCGTGAAGAGCATGCGCCGATGCGCGTCGTCGTGTGTTGGGTTGTTTTCGTGGACTGAGACACTCATGTGCATCTGTTCCTGTTCCTGCTGGTGCCTGTCTGTGCCTGGGCCTGTGTTCCTGGATCTGAATCATACCTTACCTGGTACCTAAAGGTAGGTCTCACATGGCCCTCCATCACGAGAGTTTGCGCTTGATTACTGCTGTATTCTTCTCTTGGCCTCGACCGACCCGTCGTCCCGCACGTCACCTCACCTAATTTCGCTGTTCAGCTTCATCCGTCGTAGGGCTTGGCTATACTCAGAGTGGTAAACTCAACGTTGACGCTGGCAAGCTCGGCAATTTCCTGGCGACAGCTGACCAAGGCCGAGGCCGGGTCTCTAGCGCCGCCAATCAGTTGTCTGCATTGGATGATTTTACTCAGCAGCGAGGCTGCGCTGGACCCTGGAAATCTCTTAGCTCTGCTCGACGCTCGTGACATCTTGTCCGGTTGTGACTTGGGCCGTATTCCCCCACAGCCAGAAGCCCGCAGCGCTCAGCCACAGTCTGTCTCTCGTAAAGATCGTCATCGGTCGTCTTGGCTTTTGCTGACCGCCATCCTCGGCGAAAGTGTCCATGATGCCCATGAGACGGTCGTTGTCAATTCATCTCGCCGAAAAGAAGCAAGCAATCAAAGGCAGGCCCGCTGCCTGCTGCAGGTACGAGCCCGGAGACCTGCCAACCCGTCTGCCTGCAGCTCAGGGTGATCGTGCCTTGCATGGTGATTCCTCACCTGATGCCTTCCAGCGTTGCTAGTGCCTCGATTGCACGCACATCTGCATTTCCCGCCCACCCATTCTTTCAGCCCGGATGGGATTCTCCCCCGGTCGCCCATGGTAAACCAACATGGGTTTCAATTGATGACTCTTTGCTTCTTCGCTCGGTTGCTCCGGCTATGGCCATCCATGGTACGATACGTACGTACATGTATGATAATGCGATATTCTGTCACCATGGCTGCCACACCTCTGTGACCTCCGATCAACTCCGCATCCAATGACAGCGCCGAGATGGCATCGCCCAGCACCAAGCCGACCAAGCCCAGCCAAGCCATGCTCCCGATCGGACGGGTTGTTTGGTCCGTCACGCACTAGCTATGCGAACACGTTGGTCAGATGATGGCTGGACCTGCAGCCACCGAAGTTTCCTTGTACGTATCGCCACGACAGTGTTCAAGCCATTCAGCCTCAGCTCTGCTGTCCTGGAGTCTGGACGCAATCGACAATTTCGCTTTGCCGATATCGTACGTGTACGGGCCCGCAGCTCAGCTCAGCTCACTACATGCCCCCATGTCCTTCGTTCTGCTGATTTGGGTCATGTACGGGGATGCAAAACTCCACTCCACTAGCAATCCCACTGCCTTGGTGCGATGCTTGAGCTTCCCAGCTGCGGGAGGCTGGAGCTATCGATTTCTTGTCAGGCACAATCAAGGCACAGCTTGCAAGGGAAGAATAGTAGCTCCTCGGACGTAATCACAATGATCGACGCAGCGTGACAACGACGCGATTGGTGCCCGCGCTCAGACATTCCGGACTCTACTACAGTGACTACACTGACTCGATCTCGGACACGACATGAAGGTTATCCATTGCGGCCCGCCATCTTGTCTACGATCGAATCCGATCATTGGGACAACCGCCGACATAGTAATTATCACAAACGCACTCATCATTGTTGGTCTCGAGGTCAAACGCCATCCTTGCATTGAACCATGCCTACGACTCATGTCGATCGTCCCCAGCCAGTCGTCCTCGTTGAACCTACTATCACAAGTACTCTGAAGCTATTCCCAGAGCTCCACGCCCCAGTCCTGACTGCTTCCCCTCCCCCATGACGTCGTCTATTCACCAAGACATCTCACATTCAAGATAAGTCAAGTGAGTGCACGTCCTCAGCATTCCCTCCATTAAAGAGCTTGCATGAATCCTCACGCGGCGCGTGCGCGGCGTCACCTAGCTCCCGTCATTGGGGTTTTCGTGTCATCCTCTGCCTTGAATTACGACGGGGTCTTTGCACGCTGAAACAATAGAGGGAAAATGTGTCCATCGGGAGACCCCACGGCTCGATGAACCTCTCTTCCCATGGACGTGTCTTGCCATGATATCAGAGTGGCGAATGATTCTGAAACGACGCGGACGAGCGCGCGCGCGTCCGCTACCGATGATCTCCTTTTTGCACGTAAGATCATCCAACCCGTGTCTCCTATCGCGCGATGTGATCTTCCATGCGGAGAATGATGACTTGTCTTTGCGCGTCTTTGTGTCCGCGCCAGCCAGCCAGCCAGCCCTTGAGGTCGCATGAAATGCAGTGTGATTCTTGGGCAAATGTGATCTTCGCATCGGGACCACGCGCTGGTCATCTCGATGAGGCTCCGTGCACGGGAAGTTTGCTTGCCGCATCAACGGCAGACCAGTGAACACCCTTCCACGTCCCTCATACGATACATCTCCTGCTTATCGTAGAATACCGTCACTCTCACCCTTGAACCGCTCCACGCGTCTCTGCTCCCAGTTTTCCAGGTCACGGCCCGCGAGTCGCTGCGCGCGTTGTTAGCAGCAATTCTCTCGAGGTGTCCCGCTCTGTTCACTTCCAATGGATTCGACCAAGATCGGGGTTCTGGACGAGAGGCTATGTCACTCACATTGTACTCCTCCCGCATGTCAACCTTTCGGCCGGCCCGCCGCACGCTGAGTTCCTCCTCCTTGCTCATCTGCCGCACCTTGCGATCGTGCTTCTCGTACCGCACCGCCGTCGCGGGCGTGAGGACAAACGAGCCCGCAATGATGATGCCCAGAAAAGGCAGGCCAAAGGTGAGAAAGGGGTGCTTGTTCATGAGCGAGCGGTACCGCATGCCGATGCGGTTCATGTCGGCCGACGACCGGAACTTGTTCGACTGGAAAGTCGGCATTGTGGCGTGGTTGGTCGACGCGGCTCGGTATACTGTGGTCGTAGCAGTAGACAATGGTGGGTGAATGTCGAGTCGGATCGGGTTGCAGCTGTAATATGACTGCGCTGTTAGACAGGTCTCGAGAGTGCTCCGGACAATGATGATGTTGGCTTTTCGTGGAAGTCTTGGGGAGCTCGGGATTGGATGTTGTCGCGGAATTGCCAGGCGACCAGACCCCACCGGCTGGTGAGTACCGGTGTCGTGCGCAATTGGGTTACCCTAGTCTTCGAGAGCGAGATACTCTACTCCATGCTGGCTTGGAAACACTACAATGAGCTGTCTAAATTCGGGTTCTCTCAAAGCCTTGAAATTGTTTAATCTACACATACAGAAAATTGATGGAAAGCGTTGGCGTTGCTACTACCGTATAGTGCGAAGTTACTCTTTTTCGAAAACTCTCCATGCCTCACACAAGTCAACCAACTGTCAGTGCAGAACAACAAAATACAGACCCCCAAGGAATAACGAGAGACAAGAAGCTACTAGCCATACCCAGCGCTATATAGCATGCCTCACATAAGCACAGGAAAGTCGCGGAAGCATGCAGACAGAGGATTAATTATTGGAACAGGTAGTCCACATTACAGAACCAATTCTCCTCATATGTATATGTACCCTATGCCCGCCCGCCTCGCTCTCGTCAAAAGCATTCGTTACACCGCCATGCCTCAATCAAAGCACATCAAGTAATCTAGCGCCTGACAGTGCTCCCTGACCAAAAAAAACAACCGTGGAAACAAACATTGGATGCCCAGAGGACCAAACACATCGCCATGCTGCGTCTGCGTCATTGTACAGGGTGGTCGACGACAGACATGGTGGGGAGCCGTTCATCATCCCAAGAAGAAGGGTAAACACAGGTAGAATTGTGTCCATACAAAGGGAAGATATAGTCGCGGGTCGGCATGTCGCATGTCGTGTCCATCTCGTCGTCGAGGGATAGTAAGAGGTAAAATGTTCGGAAACAAAAAAAGATGCTCATCGCTCTATGCTCGGTGGTGGTGCCTGCCAGCCATTGATGTATGCCATGAGACCCATCCCTATGAGTACAACGCCCAGCGCAGAGGCGTACGGTAAACTGGCCTGCAGAGGACTGTCGGGTGCGGTCTTGGAGGTGTTCATGGGCGTGATCGTGGTGGCCCTGGAAAGTGTCGGGGCATCACCCTCGCCTACAGCCCCATCCGACTGAGCCACATATGTCGTCTCTGCGGATGCTGATGCTGCCTCGGCGTTCGTCTCGTGGGAGGTCTGCACCTCGGCCGCCCTCTTGCGCGACCTCGAGCGCTTTTCCTCCTGGTCCGCCGCTCGCCGAGCCTCTTCTGCACGTAGTTGAAGCACCATCTCAGCCAAGCTCTTGCGATCCGCGTCCCGTGCGGATTCAGCGGCCTCGCAACGCCCCTTCCAGTGAGCGACTTGCTCCTGCATACTCTTCATTTGGCCATCCATCGTGTCGATGCGTTCTTGCAACGCGGCCGCGGCCGCGTTGGCTTCAGCACCCTCGTTGTTGGCGGCCGTGCTGGCCTCGATTTCGACGCTAGGCTCATCGTGGGCCGGAGGCTCAAGAGATTTGTCCATTGAAAGCGTAGGCTCCACCACTGAGCCGTTGAGATGGGTGTTCGCGGAATCTTCGAGGCGCCTGGCCAGGCTCTCGGCCAATTCGCGTGCCTCACGTTCTTTCTGCAGCATCGTTTCCAACTCCTTCATGCGCGCTGTCTGAGTGTCCATGTCCCGCTTCGCATTGTTCAGTGCTTCGGTAAGTTGGATAATCTGTGACACGTTCTCCTGCCTGATCGGGGAGTTTGCCTCAGGTCCTGACTTTGAGCGCTCCGTGACCCCACGCTTCAAGGAGGGCGCGCTCGGCTTCTCGGGTAGTGGTTGCTGGGGTGGCGGCGCAGGTGGTTCGGAGAACCGTGACTTGGGTTCTGGTCGAAATGGAAGACCGTTCACCAGATGCGCCTTTGGGGGCTCAGCGGCCTCCGGTTTCTCCAAGTCCTTGACGTCGTTCTTCGATAAGAGTGTGCTGACAAACTGGTTGGTCCTGTTCAGGTCCTGCGCCTGTAGCCTCGCTCCTCTCATTTCATTCTGCCAAGTCAGCACACAGTCTGCAATGCATTGTCAAGTGCACTTACCGCAAGACGCTTCAGAATCTGGTCTGTTGCGATGGGTGAGAGGAAGAACGGTCGATGCTGAGGCATATTGGCCTGCGCGCTCACGGCCTGCGGATTGGGCGCCATCCGGCCGGTGTTGACCATGGGTGCATTGCCTCCTTGGCGTCCCCGCGACTGCGCACCTGGTTGTGCCATCATGGCGCTGTTCGCTGGATCCAGGTCTCCAAAGTTCATGTCAAGCACATTGTTCGACGCGCTCATGAACCCAGAGTGCTCCACCTTGGCGGCGACCTTGTGATGAACCACAGTCTTCTGATCCTCACTAACAATATCGATACCGAGTTCAAGATGATCGCCCGTCTGGAGCTCGTGCGGCTCCGACTCACGGTTCTCCTGCGACAAACGCGTGCCATTGACAAAGGTGCCATTTGAAGACTTGACATCGCGAATGTAGATCTTGCCGTTCCGTTCTGCGTAAACTTCAGCGTGCTGCCGTGAGAGCACCTTACTGTCGAAGAAGCCGTTGAACGCTGTAGGTATAGTCTTCTGGTTGGTCTGCCGTCCAATACGAAGTGTGTCTGGTGCAAAAGGCACACCGATCGTCTTGCGCTCAAAGGTGCCGTTGAGTGACAACAAGTAAAGTACAGGCTGACCCGGTGGCAGCTGGTTCGTGGTCAGAGGCCTCGGCATCATGCTTTCAGGTGTGAGCTGAAGCAAGCCGGACGCATTCTGTTGCAAGGGACCTCCATGCTGCTGCTGCTGCTGCTGCTGTTGTTGCTGCGCGGCGAGCATACCGTTGGACCTCCCCGAGGGCAATCTGGAGAAATCCGGCTGCACGTCACCTTTGTTCGGCGGCCAGGGTTGTGTTCGGGGCCGTTTCCGAGACGCGCTGTTGGCCGCCCACTGACTTTGGTCGGAGTTGGTGGAGATGGATGTGCCAGACGGCTGGGACGCGCTCGTCAAGGCTGTGGATGCGGACGAGGCAGAGGTGTTGGATGAGAGCGATGAAGACGAGTTGGAGCGTGATGGAGCTTTGCGCGGCACGAATGTGCCTCTCACGTCGTCAGGGTTCATCGGGTTGTTGCCGTCAGTAGAGCCCCATGCTGGTAGTGATATCGGGGCCAACGTCCGAGAGCTCGCGACTGCAGTCATGAGAAGGACTGATCACTGTATTGACGTCGGGAAGGTGCGTCGGTGGTCGGGGGCGATCGGAGACACTGCCGTGGCGAAGGGCTCTGGGAGAGGCGATGCCAAAGCAAGGCCGCGCAGAGCCGTTGAAAATCTCAAAAAAATCGCGTCGTGCTCGTCAATGTCGGTCGTGGAATAGGAATGTTCTGATAGTCAAGGTCCGTCAGCGTGAGGTCTTGGCCAGGAGCTAGGCTAGGAGGTCAATTTAAGCGCGGCCCAAGGCCCAAGCGACATGTGCTAGGTGCTTGAACTGGGTCGCAGGAAATCGGACAAGACATACAGGATGGATATGGCGAAAGAGGTTCGCGATCATGAGCGTCGCCCGCGAGATCTCTGGCAATGTCGAGATAGGCTCGTCGTTAGGAGGAAAGATTTGGGTTCTGTCCCAGTGTCCCTAACCGCCGTCTAGCGTGCTGAAGCTGGACTTGGCTGGGGGCCGAGCAGGAAAGAGTGGGGCTATTCACAGCTAGCCTGAGTATCACGGTATGGCCCAGCGTGATTGACAAACTTCGAGAAGATAAACAAAGTGGATTGCAGGTGTAATGATCAACAGGAATAAGATATATAGTCATTCATTGCGAGTTTCAAATAACGGTTCTCGGTGCAAACTTGGCAAACACCATCGCGTCAGGCGTCTTCCGACTGTGAGCTCTCCTCACGTGATGCGTACCGTGTGAAAATGGCGATAGTGACGGAACAGACTGTGCAGAATGCACTGTACATAGGTAGCATTCGCATAAACTTTATGCCGTTGTACAGACTTAAAGTCAGTCCAAGTCGGGCTAAGAGTGGGGCGCATTGAAAGCTGGGGAAGCTGCTGGACCGAAAGTTGAAATCGTGAACGGTCGAAGACTCGACAAAGCTGCAACATCCCATCACAACAAAATCTCGAAAATGCCCCCGGTCGCGAATATCCACCATGGCCAGGCTGGCCCGTCAACCTTTGACAAGCGTATGTTTGGTTCTGGCTACTCAGTACGAGGCTAATCGCGAACAGTCAAGATGGGCGCAATGATGGGCGGCAGTACGACAAAACCATTTCCCCCCAAAGACCGCGACTGACAACTGATAGCTGTGGGCTGCATTCTCGGCTTCATGTACGGAACCATCAACATCTTCCGCTACGGCGCAGGCACGAATGGCGTGATGCGCACTCTTGGCCAATACATGGCCGGCTCCGGCGCGACCTTTGGGTACAAGACTTTCTTGATCACTTGTTGACCATGTTGGCTGACGAACCGATAGGTTCTTTATGGGTGTAGGAAGTGTCATCCGCACTGATGTGGCCGATCCCGAAATTCGCGAAATGTACTTGCAAGCGCAGCGACGACCGATAATCTGGCGATCACACCAAGCATGGAGGCGAGACTAGGCAAACACGAGCTGATCGAAGTGTAATGTTGGGTATGAATAGGTGGGATGTACAATACGATACTTTGTTTCTATATATTCACCATGGTGTACGCTTGTCGTTGGCAAATCGCTCCATTTCCGACTCTGTTCTTTGGGGAAGCGCACAACCTTGGGTCCTGCTGACGAGAAGCTTCAATGACATCGAGGCCATGGCCTCGCCCAGACACGGTCGTTCAAAGCGTCTCGTGCATTTCCGGTGTCAAGGTTCGAGGGTGTCACCAGATGCTTCATAGAGCAGCCACTCTGCGCACGCAGCACCGCCACTTTCGGGCCGTCTATACAGCTGAAGAGCTGTGCATCTGGCTTTCCACGGCTGATGCTGACGTGCAATCTTAGAGCCTGACGAAGGTGCCACCATGCTCAGCTGATGCGGCACGAGTTGCCAGCGAAGACGGATGTACTCACGAAGAAACATACGATGAGATCACACCAGCCTGCATTCGCTTTTGGCAATCCGTATGGACATCTCATGCGGAAAGGGATCACATGATACCTCCCGATACCGGTCCTGCCGCCCGAGGAATTGCTTGGGATCGCAATCTAACCGAGCAATATTGCTGGTACGACGGGAGCATCCAACTTGTTCCACCTCGTACTGCATCAAAGAAATCACTTTTTAACTCGTGTATGCAAGCATGTTCGTCGAGTCGCTTCGAAGCAAGGACCCTATCCAGAGGGCTACGCTGTTTCACAACATTTCTTTTTCAGGGCCTTGGCGTGGCCGGACCATGCATCAGTCTACTGCTGGCCTGAAGATCACCCGTTCACCGCACCCGAAATTATTGGGCATTCGCCCACAAAAATCAACCGTCAACAGCGGGAGATGCAACCAAGACCAGTGGAGATCAGAAGAAAGGCCTTGTGTGAAGGTCAAACTTCAGCTGCCGCCGTCGGGAGTCGTATTCGCCGACCTGAGGACCTGAGCATGAGATTTGGCCGGTTGTAGGTGGGTGGACGGTGCGAGCATCGAACTAACAAAATGCCTATGACTGGCTCAACAACTAAACTGACATGGATTTCCAGGCTGATCACGGTAGTATTCGCAGTAGGGGTATGCCGTAGGGGTATGGTTGGCCAACTTGACGATGACACATAGGCCGGCGAAGCCTCAAAAAATATCACACGAGCTTACGGCTACGGCACCGATCATTGCTTGTGCAATGTCATTCCAGCTAGCGCCTGTCAGCCCCTGACAGCCAACACAAGATTGTCACGGGGCCGAGCGTACGGCACAGCGTAACTTTCCAGAACCATGAAAGTCGGGGCGACTGTGTAGCTCTTCAGAGGATATAAAGCCGGCTGGTTCCTAACCCGTACCAAGCATCGGGTCGAACATTCTTCCCCCGTCATTCTTCAGAGTTACAACCATATCATCATGGGAAATTACCAAAGCCATAATCCCAGAGCCGGCCACGGCACACAGCCTTATCATGCTGGGCATGTTCGGAGTAGTATCGGTCAGAGAAGAACGAATGGGTAAGGCCCTCACGTTGACTGCCCATGTTGGGCAGAGGCTGACATGGCACAGGAAATCACTTCTCGGTACTCTTGCAGCCGCCGCCTTGCCTGCCTTCTTATCGAATAACCCCCTACCAAATGGGTACCCTTGGAGTCACCTGTCCCCTAACACCGACTACTACCACGAGGTCCCGTATACGGGTGTCATAAGATGCTACGACTTTACCATCTCCCGCGATGTCATTGCCCCAGATGGGTATCTCAAGCCCGTTCTTCTGGTCAACGGAGGCTTCCCGGGCCCCCTGATTGAGGCCAACTGGGGCGATACAATACAGGTCACCGTACGAAATAACATCACGTCTCCCGAAGAGGGCACTGCCCTCCATTGGCACGGCTTTCTACAAAAGGGCACCCCTTGGGAGGATGGCGTCCCTGCAGTGACCCAGTGCCCGATTGCCCCCGGGAAAGAGTTCACGTATACGTTCCAGGCTGACATGTACGGGACTACATGGTACCATTCTCATTATTCGGCGCAGTACGCTGGAGGTCTGATCGGACCCATGGTAATTCATGGTCCGCAAATTGCAGAGTATGATATTGACCTGGGTCCAGTCATGTTGACTGATTGGTATCATGAGGACTATTTCACGCTGGTGGAGCAAACGATGGCCGTCAACTCTACGCCCGTATTTGCGGACAACAACCTGATCAACGGCAAAATGAACTTTGACTGCGCCAGTGCCAAACACGGAGACAGAGCACCTTGCGTAAATGATGCTGGTGTCTCCCAGTTCCGGTTTGAGAAGGGGAAGAAGCATCTGCTCCGATTGATCAACGCCGGCGCAGAAGCTTTGCAGCATTTCTCGATCGACGGCCACACCATGACGGTGATCGCCAATGACTTTGTACCAGTCCAACCTTACGAAACCAAAGTTGTCACCTTGGGGATTGGTCAACGAAGCGACGTCATTGTCGAAGCGAATGGCGAGCTTGACGCATATTACATGAGGAGCAACATCTCCAAGATATGCAGCCTGGCAAGGAACCACGACGCTTTAGCAGTGATTTACTACGACGACGCCGATACGTACAGCGAACCCAAGTCTGAGGCATGGGACATCCAGGATCCAGGCACATGTGCCAACGATGATCTCGAAATGACCGTTCCTTTCAAAGAGTTGGCCCTGCCTGAGCCTGATTTGACATATGACATGGAAGTCAAGCTCTTTGTCAACGGATCCGGCATCAAGTTGTGGTCTCTGGACGGAGTGACGTTTCGGGGGAACTACAATAGCCCACCTTTGCTGTTGGGCATCTTGGGGAACTATACCTTTGACGAGGAGTGGAATGTCCGGCGCACAGGAAACGCCAGGAGCGTCAGGGTGAATGTCATCAACCACACCCCCGTTGCGTAAGTGCATATTCTTTTCCTGCCGTGGTACCAAGACTGACGGATCTAGACACCCGATGCACCTACACGGCTTCGACATGTACGTTCTTCACGAAGGACTCGGTCCTTGGGATGGGACTATAGTGAGGCCTTCGAACCCGCAACGGAGAGATGTCTTCCAAGTTCGTCCCAATGGACACCTTGTCATGCAGTTCGACGCAGGTGAGAACCCGGGCGTGTGGCCTTTCCATTGTCACATTGCGTGGCACGTGAGTGCGGGCTTCTTCGTGCAGTTCCTTACTGGCGAGGACAAGGTTAGAGGCATGAAGATTCCGGCGGTTGTGGCGGAGACGTGTCGTGAATGGGCAGCGTGGACAGGAGAGAACATCCCGGAGCAGATCGACAGTGGGCTTTGATTGGACTCAACGTGCGATGTTTAGATTGTTCATTATTCATATTTATGGGAAGCAGGCATTATAAAGCTGGTTTATCCTTTGGCTCCTCGTCAGCCCCTTTGCTGTCCTTTTTGACTGACTCAGTCTCTGTAGAAGTGTGCGCCCGTGCGGCATCTCTGCCATATTCTCCAGTCGAGCGCATTCGAAGACCATCGCCGTCTAGCGTTTGTGACGGGGATTCTGGTTTGGTCTGCGTTGTTGTCTCAGGCGCCTCCTCCGACCCTGTTTCCGCCCCCTTCTCTTTATCCAAGATCTCCTCATGTTTCTTTTCCCCTGTATCATGTTTCTCCTTCTCGTCGTCTAGATGCAAGGCTGTATCCACATCTGCCGTCAACTTGGCCACCTCGTCCTCCAACTCCTCTTCATGATCTTTCCTCTGCGCCAACTGTCGCTTTCCTTCTTTCTCACCGACAACGCCCTTCCACAGCTCCTCCAACTCGTCTCGCCAGCCAAGAGCGTCCGCAAACTTGCGCACTTGTGCATCACAGTCGCCCAAAGCCAGGACATCGTCGCTCCTCGCTCCGATCCCACCCACGCGTTGCAGATTGAACAACACGCGCGGTTTGCCTTCTTGTACCATGCCTGGGAGTGCGGCGAAGGGATACACCGACAGGCTGGTACCGATGATCAGGACCAGGTCTGCCATGCTCAGCCGATAGGTTTCCCGATCAAAATGCTTGGGGAGCATTTCCCCAAAGAAGACAATGTCCGGCTTGACTAGCCCCTTGCACTCCTTGTCCTCGCAGCGAGGGACGTCACCCCGTTCCACGTGCTCCACCATCATGTCGCCATCAAACTCCCTTTTGCATTCTACACATCGCTGCGTTGCAAAGCTCCCGTGTGCCTCGACAACCTTGTCCCCTGGCACGCCCGCTCTTCTTTCTAAGCAGTCGATGTTTTGCGTGAATAGTGTATCCAAGAGGTTCTTTCGAGCCAAGAGTGCGATAAAGGCGTGCGACACGGTGGGGTGGAATTTGCCAGGGTAGAGTTCGCGGGCGAGTACGTAGAAGGGTTCGGGGTGTTCGCGAAAATACGATATATCGAATACCGCTTCCGCGTAGGGCAAGTCCAGCCTCGATAGGTTATCGTATAGACCAGTGCCAGGACTTCTAAAGTCAGGAACTAGTTATCGGTGTCAGCCTGCCGTCGCGTAGTTCTAGGGTTCGGTGGCTCACGTACTGCCTGCGGCGGTGGAAATGCCAGCGCCCGTCAGCACGACAATGCGCTTCGCGCGACCCGAACTGATGTACTCGGCGACACCATCCAGGTCTTTCGAGGCCAACGTGACTGGCGGGCCGTTGGAGAGCGAGCTCTCTTCTTGGCCCATCTTGCGACGAGGGACGCGGGGTCCTTTGTCTTTGTGCTTGTCGCGGCGGCGGCGACCTATGGTAGCGTTTGATCGGTTCCAAAGGGCGTTGCAAAGCCGGCGCATAGGCTTGGGGCAGAGGGTGAAGGGTCGCGGAGGGCGGCTCGTGTCGTGCGTGCGGGATTCGCGTGCAGCTGCCCAGCCCAGGCTTCTTTATCTTGTACAATTTGGGCGCTGCTGCATGACGAAAGCGTTGCGAGCTGGACGTTTTGCAGGGTCGCTATTTTCGGCAGCGATCGTCGAGAATGAAGACTGGGTCCATAAAATATTAATGGAGATTTAGAGCGGCAGCCTAGATTAGGCACCACAAGCCTTCGAGAGCAGCGTCCAACGACGCTCTGAGAGAAAGCCGCGAGCAGAGTTCAAAGCGTGCTTGGGTACGTATGCAAGACGTATTTGTAGGCCTTCCGTGAATAGCCCCGAGCAACATGGCTCTGGTAGCATCTGCTGGGCACAGGCACTTCTGACGCAGAGTGACTATCTGATGGGCCACGTTAGGCCAGAGATTGTGCTGAGGAAACAATGTTGCTGTATCGGAAACGACATGACGCGAAACGACCCTGCGACAAATAAAAAAATTGGCCACGCACGCCGGGGACTCATCGACGACCTGTGTCGCCATGCAAGGACCATGAAGGACGACAGCACATGTTCAATCAACCTTTCAAGAAACCTCATAAGAAACCTTATTTTCCCATAAACGCCACATTATGCTCATTGCCAGTTTACATTCATCCATGCCGCTCCCTTGCCTGTGCAAACTGCTCCTCCTGCAACCGTGCCAGCTCCTCCATACTCATGCCACTGTTTGCAAACTTGTCCTGCTTCTTCTCCCGCCCCTTTTGCACCTCCTTGTGTTCCGCCGCCGCCTCCATGACGACGCTGACGTAGTCTGTGAAGCCCAGTTGCTCGAGGGCTTTTGTGATGTGGTCGCAGGCAATGGTCTTCTTTGCCTCCTTTTCGGAGATCTCGTTGGCTTCAGATGAGATGAGGGTGATGAACTCGACGCAACATTCAATGAGGACGTCGCGAGCTTCCTTGGCAAAGGAAAGGCCGGTGCTGCTGGGCAGGATCTCTGTGACGATTTTCTGGACGGTGGCCTTGGGCAACGATAAGTCGTCGTTCCCTGGAGGTATGTTAGCTTATTGAATGTAGAAGAGTCATGAAGCAAGTGAGATGCGGAAGCGAGTTACATGACGTATCGAACCGGTGCCAGAACCTGTCTTGATTGCTCATGCGCATCGCAACGGTAGATGAGCTGTGAGCCTGTAGCTTAGAAGTGAAAGTGAGGATTGTGCAGAGGCAGGATATGGATGGATACTCCGGGATACTTGACGGAGTATATAATAGGTGACTCGGTGACAACAGCAAGACCTCCATGTGAATACGACCGGTGGCAATGAGGTGAGGCTCGTCAGTGCCGTTGTTTGCTCGAGGAACAACACGCCAACATTTGGCTGCGCTTGCAGACAATCATGGACATGTTGTCTCGAGCAAGCATCCTCACTCACGTAGCCGTTTGAATGCAGGTGGCAATGATGAAAGACAAAAATGTTCATGTTCGTTACTCACCCGCAAACTCGTGATCCGACATGGTGTTAGTGTGAAGCTGCGTCGTCTCCCTTGTCAAGCAAGATATAGGTTGTGTTCAAGATGTCTCGAAGATGGAACAAATTTTCGAAAATGATGCGTCAAGAACTAGGCAAAAATGTCTTCAGATACTAATACAATGGGAGAAATTGAACGTTGTTCGCGCGGTGTGCTTCTCTTTTACTCGTCGAGTGAGTGAGTCGCGTCGCGTGCATGAAATGAACCTCCAAATCCGTAGCTGCCATGACGAGGGGCGCCGCCGATATTATACCTGAGCCTGCCAACGGCCACTGTGGCGCTAGCTCAGCACCGTGGCGCAAGTGACTGTGGGCTTTGGCAAGCCACCCCTTGTCCCCACAATTCCGAGTCACCAAAAACTCGAAAAAGTTCGTTCCCTTCCGCGCAGGTTTCTTTCCTTTCAACCAGCAACAATGCTCCATCCGCGCCCCTCACGACATGCGATGCACCGCGTGCCACAATACGTGTGCGCGTGATTGAATGACTTGGTAAGTCTCTTCTGCTACTCTCTTCGCTTCTATGATGATTTCTGTTGTCGCCCCAGTCTTAAGAGGTCCGACAAGCCTCTGGTGCTGATTGACACTGTCTTAGCCAAATAGACGTTTGCTGATCGACGCGCACACATTTTTGTCTTGCTGCATCTTCGAGTGGCCTTTGCTAACGCCGTACAGATAATGTAAGCGACTCCTATGCCAGATTACCTGCACGTTGCCGCCATGATGCCTTGCTATACGGTACTATCAAATACCGATCCCTCGTGACGGAGAAAAACGATAGCCTGAGCGACAACATCGTGCATGCACACTTTGCAACTCGAGTCTTGACGTCGCTAACGCGGTCAAGTCTTTTGCAGAACATGGTGTTTTGATTTCCAAGCACTGTGATGCATGATTGATAGGTAAGACCTTGCGCGCGTTTTCCTACAGAATCACCCACCATTTGCATGATGATACAACTTATTCCATGCTAATACCGAACGCACCCATGTGGATATAAATAAGAGCTTTTCATCTTTCGACTGACTTGCAACACTCCCTTTCACGTTTCTATTTCCATCACTTGGATAAAGCAGCTGCTAACGCGTGTGGAAAGACAGACCTCTACTACTGCTGAAAGGCAGCCATCTCCTCGCCATTCCATTTCACCAACTTGCCACTCAGGTCGTTGTCCGGGTTGGCCACAAATGCCGCAATCACATTCCCAGGCTGCTCGGGCTTGAGCAGGGCGCCCGTGTTGTATGCGTCGACGAAATCGTCGTACACGGCCTTACCCATGGTGTCCTTGCCCTCGGATCGTAGTGCGGCCTGCATGTCGGTGTCGACGCGGCCCGGCGCCAGTGCTAGGGACGTAATATCCGGCTCTTCTAGAGCAATGTGCGTGGAGAGTGCGTTAACCGAGGACTTTGACGACCCGTAGGCACCCCAGCCCTCGTAGGCCTTGGTAGACGCGCCGCTCGAGACCCAGATCAGGCAGCCCTTGGACTTTCGTAGCTCTGCAAGTGCAGCCTTGGCCTGTGGATGTGAGAAATGGCCGTGGATGACGTTAGCTGGAGAGATTGGGAGGAGTAGCTTACCATAGTGAAGTTGCTGAATACATTCACGTTGTACACATGTTTGAGGTCTACCAGTGACGAGTCTGCCATCTTCTTGGGATTCAGGACACCGTGATTGATGACCACACCGTTCAAGCCGCCAAACTTCTCAACGGCCAGAGTGACCAGTTTCTCTGGGATCTTGCATGCGTCATTAGCTCAGTTGATTCCTTGTAAAGCTCAGAGCGAGCAAAGCAAGTTTGTACACACAGTCTCGTCGGTCATGTCACCAGCTACATATTCGACTTGCTTGGGTGACTGCGCCTTGATGTTCTCAAGTAGGTCGGCTGAGCGTGCGGCAAGCACCACGTTGTGTGATTGGGAGAGCAGGCGTTTGGTCACGGCGAGTCCGATGCCTTTGCTCGCGCCGGTGATGATGAACGTTTTGGCCATGGTGTTTGATCGTCAGTTTGGAGCGTAAGATCTTTTCTCGCCTTGCGTAGAGCTAATGAGGAGGAGGGACTTGGGTTCAGTGGTAAAGTGAAGACTGGATGCAAACGAGGATGACTATCGTGTGGGGCTCGAGATGATGTCGTGGTGGGGGGGTTCTATGTCAAATTGTTCGTACTTTGAACAACTTGTGGGAGCAGCCTTAGTCCATGATACACCAATAGCTCAAGTAGTCCGGTCTTTCAGGGTTTGTTTGTCCTCTTTCGCGAACTTGTAGTACTCAGATGTTGGAGCCACGTTGTGACAATGTAGAAGATCGACGCTAGGGGAGGTAGCCCTGTATAATTTCTAATATTTCACTGGCTTGACAATGATGCGTTGGCCGAGTGGTCTAAGGCGCTAGACTTGAATCCACTTTTCAATATCTAGTCTCTTCGGAGGCGTATGTTCGAACCATGCACGCATCGAAATTTATTTTTTTGACAACCACGCTTTTTGCAAAGAGGCCCGACACGCCTTGACTGAGACGGTCGCGGGGAATTGTTGAAAGGCTCTCTCCCTTCGCTGTGGTCGACATTGAAGGGCGCTCGGCTACCTGGGCCAGTGTCATGATATTGACTTCGTTCCCGCCATTCTCGCGAATCTCCTTTTTACTCCTATAAACATCGCTCACGCGGAGGTGATAATGACCATGAAAGGATCCTTGGCGCTTCAAAAACGATTGGGGAAGCGTGCGGCTTGGTGCAGGTGACTCATGGCCCTAGAGAAGCTCCCGTCAATCATTAGCCGCTTGACCTGCAGAGACGGTGGGAATGATGGTGAGCACGCTCAGCTCAGCGGCGGCGCGTATATGGGACGCGTGCTTCACCAGCCACCAGCCAAATCACATTTTGTTTCCTTTACATCTACAGCGCGCCCCTTCAACCAAGTTCCTAGCGCTGCGCTCTATCCATCCTTCCTGATTCAATGCTCTTGGCTATTCGGAGCAGTAGCTGAGATCGACCCATTCCACGAACTCACATATTCCAAACTGTCCGGAGACTACTTTTGCACCCGACATGAAGACGTTTACCAGGAATGCAGACGCCTCTGCCCTTCGATGCCCACCGGGCTGCGACGATGAAGCCTTTTCTCATGTTCGAAAAATAGACCATGTCGCGCGCAACTCACCCGAGGACGTGTACGGGCGCGGATCTTGGGGCTACACAGGTAAGACAGACAATCCGAGCAACTTGCAAGCCTAGCATTGATAGACCGCCCTCCTAGTGCTCCGAACGACATATTCCCATGAGTCAGACGCACTTTTCCCCATTGCGGTGGAAAAGCTCAACCGCTGGATTAAAGGCTTCTGGGCCTTTCAGAGCCTCTTTGTGCGGCAATCGGCAGAGTTTATGTATCTGAAAACCGACCCGATTTACAACGACGTTATCGCTGAGCGCTTCTGCTTAGACATTGTCGAAGATCGCGAAAAGCTCAATTGTAGCGACTTGCAAGCTGCCAGTCCTGCTGATGTTGATCTTTTGGGTCAGCGATTTGACGTGTGGCGTATCTCTGTTGGCGCAGAGCATGGCTTCGAATGGAGCCCACGTTTCTCCGATTGTATCCTGATCGACGATAACTCATTGGCCTCTTTGAATAATCTACCCGAATATCCACCAGATCTCAAGGCCCTCTTAGGGTCTCGAGTACCCACGCAGAAATTTGATCAATGGTACGACGACGGGAGCGCATATGTGTGGCTAATGGATGCACGGGGAGTCTCGAAATACGCGAGAGATGCAGACTTGCAACAAGAAAGACCTAGCGCACGGGGATGGTTCAAAATTTCCCTCTTGATGCTATGGGAGGCCTGGGATGCCAGAGCCTCGTATGATGCAGGGACGGTTCTGTCGTGCGAAAACGATGTGGATGATGAAGATCCCGACAGTTACTGGTACGATTGGTGAGCGTAATGGCTACACGTACTCGGAAGAATGATGCCACGCCCTGACGTGCTTGAGCCGTCCTCGGCCAACATATATATCTATCTGTATATAATTTGGATCTTTATATGTAATATTGGATGGACTCAATGAAGTCGTCACTTCCGACACCCTAATATTCACACGCCGCAAGAGTGCTGCGAACTCTTTGCCTCTCCAGATCCTTAAGAACTGGGGATCAGCCTCCAGCTTCTAAGCTTGCCCACCGACTGAAAGGCAGGGCGCAGTAGGTAAGCCCGGGCTGAAGCTGCGCGCTGCATCCTGGGATTGAGGTACCCAGCGATGGATTCACCTCCATGAAGATCTGAATCGTGGTCTGGCTCTCAAATGCAATTTCCCTGCACAGGTCACCCTCCTTTGCAACATACCAGGTGCCACAGTATTCGGTCGTCCCCTCTGCCAGTGTCGAGTTTTCCGGTCGCTGAGAAATGGTGCTCGAGTATCCAGTCGCTCGTTCTGGTGTCGTGTTGCCGCCGTAGCCCGTCGAATTGGTCTGGAACTGACCGTTCTGTGGCGCGACGCAGAGGACATGGCCGAATGCAGCATCGCTTGCGAGATGCAAGTTTGTGCAATCCACGTCGATCCAGCGGTTGTACTTGCGCACGAACCCATGGGAGAAGATATATGTCGTCTGGGTCAGGTTTGATTCGATCGAGGTGCAGCTATCATCAGGTTGAAGTCGCCATGTCCGCCCGCAAGGCGTTGGCAAACAAAGCTCAGTCGCTGCAGCAATATTATCACAGTCTAGGATGGCTTCGTCGTTCTCCCGATAAAGGGCAGCCGAGGAAACACTGTTGGCCAGTGCGATTGAATCGCAGGTGTCTCCTTCGACAGTGGTATAGCGGTTATCGGACAAACAGAAGTCTGAGCGCACTGGGAGATCGATGGGCGATTCGGGCTTCTCGGTGTCTGCCACCTTCCCGCACTGATCTAGAGAGTACTCCAACTGCGACTTAACGAAGTCATCGTAGAGTGAGTACCTTGATCGCTGAAGCATGGAATAGCGCTCGATCCAGCAGTACGAGCACATCTCGCTCTCGGGCATATCTTGGACTGTATCGACCAGTTGGAAGTTGTCGATGATTTCTGCGAAAACAAGTGTTATCATTTGCGTGGTGCTTGTGCAGCTTCAAGACCTACCGCCGCAGTATTTGCCTGTTTCCGGGTCTTTGAGACAAGTTTCGTTGTAACCAGCCCAGATCCTGCCACCGAGGAGGGTTGGCAAAGCATCGCTTATCTTGTAGCCGTCGCAAGCCACCGACACGGTTTGAAACCAGTTGCTGAGACTCTCTTCACAGCTTGCGTCGCATACTATGTCAGTTTCTTCCTTCGACCCCAGCCAGGAATGTAATCCTGGCTCCTGGAAGACCTCGGTCCGGTTATCACATCGTATAACTTCTGTCAATGCTGAGCTGCATGTCGCCGGTAGGTGCAACGAGTGCATGCTCTCCAAGCTTTCGCTGGTCCAGATTCGGTAGCCCTCGAATTTCTGTTGCCCCGCCGGATTCACCGTTCCTTGGAGCCAAGCGAGGACAGAAGACAAAAAGCCATTGATGTTATCGCGGGCAAGTGTTGCCCTTCCGCCAACCGGAGAAATCATCTCCTCGATGGCCTTGGTGCAAAGATTATATATCCAGATGTCTGATGTATCCTCAATTTCGAAGCCGCGGACCTGGCAGTCTTCCGTGTCAAGGCAATCTTGTGAGTAGTCGTCGAACCAGCTGTACAGACCCGCTCCGAGGACATATATCGAGGCCGAATTGATGATTCGAACTGCCCAGGAAACAGCACAGCCTCTCTCGGAGCCTGTAATGCATGAGGTAAAAGTTGGATCGTTCGGAAATGTACCAAGTATGAAAGGCTGGGGCGCCTTGGGCACTGGTTGGAAGTACTGTTGTTGTGAGGCGATTAGCATTCAACACAAAGGGATTCCAGAGAAAATTCAACAGCATGAAGAGGGATTTGTGGATACTTACCGGAGACTCGGTCTGTATCATGCCCATTACGACATTTTCCGCATTCGAAATCTGGTACTGATACAGCACGTTGTGCTCGACAGAAGTTCCCCAAAGCCACGCGGTCTCGCTTTCGATCAAAAGTCCTCGGGCGGCGTAGATATCTATTTGATCGAGATCTTCTTGATCCAGGTCATGGTCGGCGGTCCAAAGCCACGCATTCTCGATGTATGCTGTTGAGCCAGGTGTCAGATGCATGAGCATCGAAGCAGCCTTGCAGTGGTGTTGAATGGTGCCGCTGCCCTTTGGGCAATTGGCCAGGGATAAATCGCTCCCTTCCGCCCCTCCAACTCTGATGTGAGAATCTGTAGGCAATGTCAGCGCTTCATGGTCTTCCAATGCACGGATTGCCCGCTGGTTAGGCAGCAAATACCCCAAAGACCAGCTGAGCCCTTGCTTGATTGATGAACATTCCATTCAACTACAATGGCTCCAGCAGTGCCACCCTTGACGGTGAACATCATGCTTTGTATCTCAATGATACCGACGTCGCCCTGCTTGCCAACTTGGACAACTGGCTTGGGGCGCGTTTCATCCTCAAACTAGAATTTGTCAGAGGAAACACTCCAAAGCCATGGGGAAAAGTCAGTGATAAGACTTGAACGTACCTTGCTCCCCGTTCCCATAATCTGAGACCACGCTTGTCCAATGATCCTGGACCCGACAGGCACATGAACAGTGTCCTTGACTAGGTACATGCCGAATGGAAAATACACGACAGAAGAAGTGTTGGCCGCACCCTCTAAAATCGAGTTCAATACTTTCGTATCATCTGTTACTCCGTCCCCCTTGGCACCAAGTGCTTTGACGTTCATGACATCTGCGGTCGACAACTCATGATAGCGTGGGCGACGTCGAGTGTAGAGATTAGGAGCCTGATAGTCGTACGCCTGTCCTACCAGTGCGTCTTTTCGAATCATGGTAGGGATGCTAGCGCCATTAGAAAACTGCGTCTGTCCATCGGCACCCGTGGCGTTGTTGATGAGGCCAAAGCCCCAGCTCTGGACGACGACCTGGTCGCCACCATCGAGAAGTGGCGTCGAGACAGACTCGTCGACAATAGCCGCTTCCGTGTTAAAAAACCCCACATTCTGGACGAGGAGTGAGGTTGAGTTCTCGTTGACGAGCGTGGTGACAATGCCTTTGGGTGTATTGGCGATGATGGAATCAAGAAGGACCAGAGAGCCCACTCCCTGGCCAGTACTCATGGGCCCTCCAGCCTGCCGCAAACGTGTCAGTGACAATCGTAACACAATATTTGAATGGGTTCATGCTTACACCGCCGACAATAACAAGGCCTTGCTGGCAGCTCTCGATGACAAAGTCTTGCATCGTCCAGGCCCAGTCCCAGTGAACCTGGAGGGCATGCACAGCATTGACGAAGACCAGCTGGCTCGTGGTAAACTGCTGGTTACCAAAGTATGCCCTGCGGACAAGATTATCAGCAAACTGGTGCGATAGGCCTGGGATGCAACCCCTTGCCTCAAACCCTCCTTGCTTCATTGCAAACACATATGGCATGAGTGGTTACTTACCCGAAATTGCCACCGACGAACGTGAGATCTGCTAGAAAGCCGCCAGATCCGTTTTCCATGTAAATTCCCTTGTTGAGGTTAGGCTACAAATGAGGGTTCAAGGTTTCATTCGAGCGTGCTTACTTGCTGGTTGTTACCGGGAACATCAGAATCGTAAAGCATGTAGAACTCGATGTTCTCCAACGACGTCGCCTGAGCCACCTGAGACAGAGCGCAAAGTCAGCAACGGTAGCGCAATGATACTACATGTCGAAAACGTGTGCTCACCTGCCAGTGTATGGCACACATGTAAATAAAAGGATCAGCTGGGCGGATGTCGATCTTGAAGTTCTTGATGCTACGAAGGAAGTTGGCTGTGTTGAGATACCTGTTGGATTCTCACGTCAGATTGGGATGTTCTCATGAGGTCCAATAGGAACCCGGGGGCAGGAGAAGGAGATAAGTACCACTGCTCTTTGTCGCTGACGTAGACGTCGCTGACTATGACACCTTGACCAACAAAACTCGAAGCGGCGAGCAGAGTCGGGACGCTTATGGGCTGCAGAAGAGGTGAGCTACGTCCAAAATTTGATTTAGCAACAGTCTGCCAGGCTATACTCACATCTCCAAGGAATTCCGTGTTGAAGTATTGAATCAATGGGCTGCTAACCAAGTAGGTACCAGGTGGGAAGTAGACGACGGCGGGATAGATAGAACTACTGCCGCAATTGGCACCGCATCGACCGCCCTCGGTGATGGCCTTGTTGATGGCAGCAGTGTCGTCTGTAACTCCGTCACCCTTGGCGCCGTATTCCTTGACGTTACGCCAGACCTGGTTGCATAAAAAGTCAAAACTTGTGACGTACGTTTGGAAGATGCTCATGCATTGCATCTACATACCTTGTATCCTTTGGGAGCCATAGGACTCATGCCATCGCTTCCCATATCGGTCATCCAATACGCCTCAGCACGTTTCTGGGTTACATCCTCTCCGTAGACCGAGAGGCGGCCCTCGGGCGTCTTCTTGGGCGCGGGTGCATTCGTATCATTGTTCTTGGGCGCATACTTTTGCCTCATGAAAGTAGCGACCTCGCTATGATTGCCACGAGGCCTCTGTGGCGCGGACTCTGCAACCAAGCGAGCAGCCTCCTTCAGCGCGTCTGGCAGGGTGTAGCTTTTCGCATCCGCATGCCGACTTTGACCTAAGCCATCGCCCGATGAGTCTCGCTTTTGGGTATCATTCAGATTGCTATAATCTAGCGGAGCAGCCAGCTTGCGCTTGGGGGGATGCGGTTCAAACTCGAGTTTGTTGAAGTTGGGACTTTCCACCCGAGCCTTGTTTCTTTTTTTCAGAGCTTCCAGAGCATCCTTGATCAGCTCTTCGGCTGATGTGACGTTGCTACTGTTGTCCGAGCGGTTGCCGACGGCCCTCTCGAGACGACTTGACTGGTGCAGACCGTGATGGTGTCTTCCAGCATTGTGGCCGTGAGCGTCCACTGTGGGCAGCGAGAGGAAGCCGATGATGAGACCGAAGTGAATCAGCACGAAGAAGCATCGGCGTAAGAGCGTAGTAGTGCAAGGCTTCATTGTCGCAGGGGAGCAAGCCTGGCTGGCCCCGACGAGGATATCGAGAGGGTGATTCGCAGACGGAAGAAATTCCACAAAATAACGACGTAGAGAGGTGACTTGGGCGAAGGAAATGTCCAAAACCAGCCGCGGATCAACTGCAACTTTGAACGGTAGTGTTTGAACAATGAGGTGAACAGGGTCAAGCTTCAGTCCTTTGCAAGTCTGCCCGCGGCCTAGGCTACTTCTTTCTTATGTCTCCCAGTGCGTGTGGACTCTGGAGGACATGGCTCATCAGAGGCACGCCCGCAATTCCGCATAGCTACGTGCATAGCTGCATAGTTAGCGAGGGATGGGCTGCATAGTCCAGGTCCTCATGCTCGCTTCGCATGTACATGTACATTTGGCTGTCGGTCACATTGCAGCCGAGGATGCATGTGTGCTGTGTCTTATGGCCCAGGCTTGGCCCTACTGAAGTGTATGGATGCGATTGGTGAAGTCGTACTCAGTTGGTTGCCACTGGACCTCGCTTGTAGATATGACCCACCTTTCCACGGGGGGGCCCCGGCCCTCTCCCGGGCTTCGTGGGCGTGGACCGCCCGTAAGTCCGCCGACCGAACCCCTGATCGACCGAACCCCTGATCACCCGGCGCGGCCCAGGGGCCAGAGCCGGTGTCCGTTCGCAGCCTTCCAGGAACACGCCAAGCGCCCCAAGCGCCCACGGAAACGCCAAGACCTAGCACTACTGCAGGTACGGATACCGCGTCTTATCTCTTGAGCTGCTGAGCATTGTTGACTACGTAGGAAACCGACTCAAGACATTTCGTCAACCTCACTCTCGCGGCTTGATCTGTGCTGGTGCACCCCGCATTAGTTTGGAAGTCAGCATTCAGCCCATGTGCGCAAGGCCAGAGCCCCGCGAGAAGGCTGCGTGACGTCTCTCGATTTGTTTTTCAAAGCGGTGTGATTCTCCAGCCTACAGTGCTCGGTTCAATACTAGTTTGCCGCTTGCAGGCAGCAAATTTCAGCTTCTGGAGATGATCCTGCCACCGGCTGTCCTGCAGGTCCCTGCGTGCCAAGCACCCGTAGAGACATTTTTTTTCGCTCAGATGAAGCTGACCAACATGTACTCATGCCCCTTCCTACCGCACGGCCCCCAACCTAGTCAGCGAGCAGTGGCGGTTAATTTCGTGCCGAGCCACGAACCGAGATTGAACGACGTGCAGATTGGAAGGAAAGGAGGGGGCGTTGCATTCTCATTTTTCTTGGCCCACGGGCTCATTGCACTCTGTGGCATCGTCCGACAAAAGGTACCATGTCACCAATGTCCTATTGTGGCAAGGCCTGTGATGCACAATTTTGTGAGCAGTGAGCAGACCCTTCTCATGGACATGTAGAGTGACCCAGTGCTTGGCAACGCTGGGATTTCCAAGACAGGAACTTCGGGTGCGTCTCCTTCATTGACTCCGACTCTAGCTTGAAAGGCGCCCAAAACCAAACGAGAGTGTCTGGCGTACTGCGTGCCACTGGTTCCTTTTATTCATGTCTCTTCCCCTTGATACCTTGGCCATTCTCAAGCTTATTGAGTCCACCTCCTCCAACATTTGACATACGACGCCAACACCACGCTAAACAACAATGATACGGCCAGCTTGGGCCTCCTTAGTGACGCTTCTCCTCCTGTGGTCCTTTGTAAAGGCACAAGAATGTAGTGAGACGGTTCCCTGCGAGAATGGCTGCTGCAGCAAGTTTGGTTTCTGTGGTTTTGGAAAGGATTGTATGTGAACATGAACAGAGGACACTTGCTCCATTTGCAGACTACCGCAGTCACTGACCTTCATGCAGATTGCAGCGACGATGTTTGCAAGAACAACTGCGACGCAAAGGCGCAGTGCGATCCTGGAGACTTTGGGGAAGACTTTGTCGAGCTTGAGAAATGCCCCCTGAACGTCTGCTGCTCCAAGCACGGATACTGTGGCACCACGGAAGAGTTCTGCGGAAAGAAAAAGGTCGACCGGCCGTCGTGCTCGAAAGACGACAGCAGCTTTTCCCGCGTGGTTGGCTACTACGAGTCTTGGTCCGAGGGTCGGCCTTGCAACAGATTTTACCCAGAGCAAATTCCCAAGGGTATCTACACACACATCAACTTTGCCTTTGCTGGCATCGACCCCGACACTTATGAGCTGGTACCTGCTTCTCAGTCTGACATTGAACTGTATGAGCGTGTTGCCGCTCTTAAGAAAAAGGACAGCCAGCTCAAAGTTATGATTGCTGTTGGTGGTTGGACCTTTAATGATCCTGGACCGACGCAGACGACCTTCTCTGATATTGCAAGGAGCGAAAAGGCACAAAAGGCCTTTATCAAGTCGGTACTCAGCTTTATGCAAACATACGATTTTGATGGCCTGGACCTCGATTGGGAGTATCCTCAAGCTGAGGATCGTGCTGGGCGAGACGAAGATTTCGAGAACTTCCCCAAGTTTATGGCGAATGTGAAGAAGGCTCTGACGGACTACGAAGTCAGTGTTACATTGCCAGCATCATTCTGTGAGTCTCTCAGCCTCTTGTTCTCTTCTCCATGAATTTGTTCCTCGAGTCCAGCGAGCGCTAATTTGATACGTTCGTAAGGGTACCTCCAGCATTTTGACATTAAGAAGCTTTCGAAGTATGTTGACTTCTTCAACATGTAAGACGGAACCTCCTTAGAATTGCCCTTTTGAGCAGCCAAAGCTAAGCCTTCCGATCACTGTCAGGATGACCTATGATTTCCATGGAGTCTGGGACAAGCCCAACAAGTGGGTTGGGCCGTATCTCAACTCTCATACGAACTTGACGGAGATCAAGGATGGCATGGATCTTCTCTGGCGTAACGACATTAGTCCATCCAAAGTCACACTGGGCATGGCGTTCTACGGTCGAGGTTTCACTGCCACAAGCCCCAATTGCCTAGAGCCTGGCTGCACGTTCGAGTCTGGAACACCAGCTCAAGCTTGTAGCGGAGAAATCGGCGTCATGCTGAATTCGGAGATTGAGGATATTATGGCGAGCGAAAATGTCTCGCCAGTTCTCGACAAGGAGGCAGCGGTGCAGGTGCTGACCTATGGAGACGGATACTGGGTCACATACGACGATGAGGACACCCTCCAGCTCAAGGCCGACTTTGCAAGGAGCCAGTGTCTCGGCGGAGTCATGGTGTGGGCTATATCCCACGACACAGACGATGCCAAGTACTCGATTGCACTGGCCAAGGCCGCTCCTCGCAAGAAATTCCCGTGGGTCGACTTGCTCCTTGCAGACAGTGAATCAGGCTACACCTATGACGAACACTACAAAGAACAGTGCCGTTGGACAGGCTGCGACGAGATCTGCCCGAACAACTGGATTCGTATGATGCGCAAAGACAGCAAGGCTCGGGACCAGGAATTCATGGTCGACAACACGGGATGCGACGGGCGAGGCAGCCATAAGCTCTGTTGCCCCCCTGACCAGGATATTCCCACCTGTGGATGGTACACGCATCACAACGGCAATTGCGACGAGACTTGCCCATCCGGCACCAAGGAGATTGGTAGCAACGCGGCTTACTGTGATCTCAAGGGTGGTGCTCAGGGCATAGCTGGCGCCAAAAAGTATCAGGCAGCATGTTGCACGGTGGACACCCAGAGCATGGAGCTCTACAGTCAATGCTCTTGGCAGGATTGGCCCGTTTGTGCCAATGGCAGCTGCGGGGATGACGATACCATTGCCGAGTCCCATACGGGGAGCGGCGATGCCAGGTGCATTGGCTGGTACTCCCTCGAGGACTCGGACGGGTTTGGTCCCAGGAAGTACTGTTGCGACCAGCCTGACGAGAACACTGCGTGGAGTAGCTGTGACTGGTATGACAATCTCGGTTCCTCTACGTCGGAATTCCCGTCCGATTACTGCCATGCCAACTGCCCAGACGGCGATGTTCGGGTGGCCATGGAGCAAAGCGAATGCGCTGGTGGAAGCGCAAGGGCTCGCTGCTGCAAGCCGGATTATAAGACATTGACGAAGCGCTTCTCCAACGACGAAGACGTTTACTATGATTCGATGCTCGACTCTTTCCTCGACGATGCTGTCTGCGACTCTGTGTCTGACATTTTCGACTGGGACCCCTTCAAGAGGGCCCGCGCTCTTTCTGATCTGAGCCTGTACAGGAGGGCGGACGACAGCTCCTTTCTGAAGTGGCAAGCCGAGAGCGCTACCATTTCATTGATAAGTGTCCTCTTTTGGGGATCTCCACGGCCAGCCACGATCGACGTTTGGGACAACCAAATCAGGGTCTCTGTCTACAACAGCCTTTCGTACGAGAACCTGGCGGACTACATTCAGAATGCGGGCAGGGAGCTTTTCATGTCGCTGGGCTCAAGCCAGGGCCCTCGGTACGTGGCCTGTAACATGGCCCTGTTGAACCAAGACGTCGGCGGTGACGGAGATGATGGCGGCGGCTCATTCATCACGGACTGTACGTGCGAGCGAGATGACTGCTGCCAGGAAGACGACGACGAGTGCATTGCTTTCGGAGAGCAAAGCCTTCGGATTGCCGCCCGCAGCAACGAGAAAACTTACAGTTGGTTCATACCAGATCCGTCGACTGGAGAAACGGTGGATCTCTCGTGGTATGCACCAGAATATCCCATTGCAACCGACCTGAAACCCGTAGAAGACCTTGCCAAGCTCACAGAGACATGGTTTGCCAGCGACAAGTGCGCCGTGCTCAGGCCTGTGACCAAGAGCATCCTCCGCAATGGTCTCGTACAGACAGACGTGGCGCAAATGGACCATGCTTTCGAGCGAAATGCGATCGTGTCGTGGGCCGACAGTGCATTCGACGGATTGCTCGCCGGGAAAAGTTCCGACCGGGACAAGTTCATGCGAGACGGCGAGCATTACTCGCTGCCTTTTGAATTCTTTCAGAACACGTTGACGCAAGTCAATTCTCCCGCGGGAAGCTTCCAGCTTCGAATGATGAATGCTTTGGGCAGCAACGCAAACCCCGACGTCATGACGCTGCTCTCCAAGGAACTGAATCGTATGAAGGCAAACGTAAGTTCACCATCTTCTCATTTCCGCTTGAGGGACAACCCAGAAGACGGATGCTCTTTTCAGCCACCGACCAAGACGTTTAAATAGTCCTTTACTAACATATCGCGTCCGCTTTTCTGTAATTTTAGTTCTGGCTCTACAATCAACCGGTGGGCGAACGCATCAACAAATTCACCAAGGGGAAAAACAAAAGAGATCTCCAAAAGGCCGGCGGTTTGATTCGAGATGTAAGTCTCTGGCGGCGGCAGCACCAAAGAGCCACCAGTCAGCTGCAACGTACCTGGTATGCTAATGGTGTTTCACTACGCAGGTTATAGCGGCGTATCTGTGGCATAATGAGCGCAAGCCTAACGATCGCCTCAAGACGGTGGTCAATAGCTTGCGGGAGATTCTGCACGAGGCAGAAGGTGTGCACTACAGCAGGTATCAGGTCAGAGTGCATGCTGTCGAGCATTTCGATGCCTGGCTTGGCTCTCATTTTGCTGCCATGAGGTCCAGTGTGTCAACATTTGTGACAACGTACGCGACGACATTGCTGGACAAGGACCACGTCCAGAACAACAAAATCTGGCGAGCTCAGATCAAAAATATGGAGAACAAAGGCAACATACTCGAGGATATTGACACGGAGGGCTTCTTCCCGTCGCTGGATGACGATGGCAATACATGAGCTTGATGAGAGGAAGAGGAAAAATGACTGGCGTGCTAAATGGGTCCTGCTCAGCCTGGTGTGATGGATCATAAGATTTACTAATGAGTCTTAGACTTGGCTGGAGAATATATATGAGGACAGTATAGACTGTGGGACTGATTTTGCCTTGTCGACTTTGCGTGTGAAGCAGTATCTTATGTTCAATTATACCCACGTAGCCTTGAATCTTTCACTACAGTATTGCTATCCTCCCCACACCCTCGCACTTACATGTACAATGACGCAATCTCACACTACATACCTTCCCTGCTTGCGACTTCATTTTGATAATAACTCCTCCACGGCACTCTAGCACTTGCATACAATGACGCAATCTCCATGTCTTATAGTCCTGCTGGCGACATGGACTTTGGGTTATTATCGCCCCCACGCCACTCTAGAACTCCGCAGGCGACTGGATTCCGCGGAGACGAAGCCTCATTTGAGACAGACAGAATAGTCTCGTCGAGAAATACACCTGGCCGTGAATATCCCGTTCTCAGTCTTCCAAGCAACGCCATGGACTTTAGTGGACTTCCCCTCGAATTAAATCTCGAAATCTTCAAGCACCTGTCTCTTCACGATCACGTAACTTGCCTTCAAGCATTTCGACGGTACGAGAAGGCTCTGGGGGAAGCACTCTATATAAGACTTCCCCCAATCCAGGCATCAGTCGCAGCCGATGGTCAGCAAGATCAAAGAAAAAGAAACCATCACGCTTCGGAGAACACTAGGACGGAAAGCTTTGGAAGCAAGGATGTCCTGCGCTGGGCCATCGAGCATGGCTCTATCGCTACTCTCCTCAAAATCGACAGCGTCGAGGAGTTAAAACCTCTTATCAACGCCTTGAGTTTCACAGCGAAAAATCCCGCATTGGTTGGGGGGGGGGGGGTTTCTCACCTGTTTCTTTACTGCAGCTCGCTTGCGTGTACGGCCAGTTTGAAATCGTCCAGCTCCTTGTAGAGCGCGGTGCGGACGTTAATCTAAGTCTGGACCGAGACCTAGGACTACTTCCAATACACTTTGCTACGACAGGACAATTAGTCGCGGAGCTCATGTCGCATGGAGGCCATTGCGACACAAAGGATGGCATCTCGCCATTGGTAACGTGCCTTTGCTGCAAAGCTGATGTGAGTGCTGTTCGTGCGTTCCTGAAGCTCGGGTGCAGTCCTCATGGCGCCACGCCCAATGGAACGACAACGGCTGTGCTAGCTATCAAGAACGCAGACTTCGATACACTTCAGGTCCTCCTGGATGCAGTGGTAGACATAAAAGAGTCTCTCCCTGGGGGAGCACACGCTCTTCACTACGCTATATGTCTAGCTGAACACATCCCTGGTAAGCATGTTTCTCTCTCCAACCCCCTGACACTCTGACAGCTTACCTATAGGCCACGACATTCCGCTACGAATGGTTCGAACGCTATTACATCATGGCGCCGATGCCAAATCCAGCTACGAATCCATTACGGACACGGGTGGCCGACGCGAACCTGAGCCACGCTCGACCCCCTACCTCTACCTCGCCACAATGCTTCCTGAAACAGAAGACATAGTAGAGCTACTTCTTGATCGTGGAGCGGATGCTAATTGCTACTTCACCCTGAAACGAGGCGTTCTTAATCCCCGAATGTGCTCCGAGTCTGATACAAGGCCTAGCCATTCGACTCATATGAGCAAAACACTTGTGGGCGAGCTCATTCGTACGACAATAACCAGACCTCCTGATGAGAATGCTGAATCTTATATCAAACCCGATGTTATCAGGAAGCTGAATCTCTTGGCCCTGCATGGTGCAGATATGAAGCACTTCTGGGCGTTCAACAACTACGATGGGCGTATCGACGGACAGCCACTCGTTTTTATCGTCATGATTCCGCATTTGATGAGGCTAGGAGCCGATCCTGATTATCTAGGGGCGCCGCCTGGTTCCGGTGCTGGAAATCACCTTCTTCACTTCTTGATAGAAAGTCTCTATCCCAAAGTCCAAGATACATGGACGGAGGCACAGGTCTACTGCGACATCCGTTTCAAAAGGCCCTCATTCTTACTCGAGGCAATGCAAGCTATTCTCGATCGCGGTGCGGACCCCAACGCGACAGGCCAAGATGAAGCAACACCTCTTATGCTGGTCTGCGACCAGAACCCTAGCATGACCGCCACGTTGCTGATGAAAGCGCTCCTTGAGAGTGGCAAGGTCGATATCAGGGCGAAGGCATCCAATGGCCAGACGGCTCTTCACATCGCTTCTCGAGTATCATTGCAAAGTTCTGTAGACTATGACGACTTTTGTCTGAGGTTGCAGTTCTTGCTGAGGTACCCTGAGAGCTTGAAAGACGTGAATACCAGAGACGACCTCGGAAGGACACCTATTCACGGGCTCCTGGACGAGGGGTGCGAATGGGTTTCGCCAGGAGAAGTCGATCAATATTCGAAGCTGCATACCTTGCGTCGGGCTCTGGTGATGCTCATCCGTTCGGGGGCCGACACTACAGCTCGTGTGCACCCCCCAGGAGAAATATGCAGACACCCTATGGGTTGGTTTATCCGCGGGAACGTGCGAACCCCCTTTATGACTCATTATTTCGGTCCCGAAGGTGACGACTTTTGGGAAGATGAAGAGTGTGAAGAGGAGATAGGAGATACACCCCTCCATATGGCTTGCCAAACGAGCCATGATCCGACGATTTTCATAGAGGTCCTCCTTCGTGGCTGCGCACGGAAAGATGTGAACGCGGTGTCGAGACGACTGCGTTTGACCCCACTGATGATGCTCGTGGGGTTAGCAGCAAAGGGACTGGTTCTTCGCGAGGCTTTGATGAGGGCTATCAACCTCCTGGTCGACGCGGGTGCTGATACGCAGCTGCGTGATTCCAGGGGTCGGACTGCTTGGATGGTCTCGATGGAGATGAATGACAAGGTACCGTCTTGGCTCTGGGGACTGTACCTGGAAGAGATCATGCCTGAGATGTCTTGTACGGAGAGGAAAGAGGCTTTAGGGCTTGACATAAAAGAACGGGTATCTCTGAGGCAGGAGAGTAGTAGATAAGCTAGTTTTGTATCTTGTATGCATGCGAATAGTTCAATGGCAGATGATCGAAAGGTCATATTGACTACATCGACACAGAGTATAACACAGCTAGTAGCTGAACTCTAGTTTACACCAACTCGCACGTCATGCCCTTATAGGACGTGTTGCCGCAACCGTACACAGCATCGCACCTCGCAATTCCCATCTTGACCAACCAGTCATCGCCATTGTCCCAGACGATAGTCAGACAACCATCCTCATAGTCATCCTTCATGACCTCACCAATCCCATTCAAGTCCACGCAGACATCGTCCATCTTGCTGTTGATGATGTAAATCTCGAAATCTTCGTAGGACCAGGTGACCATCTTGCCGCTTCCGGCGGGGGGAATGACTCCGTTGCCTTCGACGGTGTATGTACCGTCGCTCTCGGCGCTCGACTTCATGCAGTCTACGAGGATGTTCAAGATATCCTCAGTTACATCGCCGCCATTGCCTGTGACGCAGTTGGGACCGTTGACCCAGGCGTCAGATCCGAGGCAGTCGGCTTGAGCGGCAGTGAAGAAGCCGAGAGCAGTGCCGACGACGAGGAGTGTGTTGGAGATCATTGTGAATTTGTGGTTTGGTGGTTGGGAAGCTTTTGTAGGAGTGGTTTGATTGCTGAGTTGCTGACTGATGGTTTTTTTGTCGTGAGTTTGTTGTTGATGAGGGTGTAAGTTGAACTCTGGAGGTGGCATCAAGTCGATTATTTATAACCCTTCTCAGGCTGAGCTTCCCCCTGGGCAAAGCCTTTGCCATGACGTTGCTGGGCTTGACCTCACCAGGGAATGCATTCACTTGACCTCACCGGGTCCCATACTCAGCGTGCTGTCATGATCATCCCCATCAAGAGCCTAGGATGTGAAGCGGTACAGGCCAAGAGTCATCATCGCCTTGAGTTGGATGCCAGGCTCGGCTTCCTTCATCGGTCGATCGGCTCCCTCCGTCCTTACTAATATAAAGTCCTCGTCTCCTCGACGACGAGTGGGCTTTCAAAAAGACCTGCAAAGACGATCTTTAACAAGCATAACGATCCTGCATGTACACGCGTACACATGCAGTGGAGCACTGCCGCCCGGGAATCGGGCACTAACATGATTCGGGTAGGTGAGAGTGACTGAATACATGCAATTGACGTAATTGCGACTGGGGCGTTCTCCTCCACTGTTGCTTCAGCCTAGCTTCTCGGTATTTCTAGGGATACCGAGTGCAATATCAACAGTCTCCCGGCTATGACGGCAACACGAACCACGAGCCAAGATGCGTTCGCACTGCACAGCGAGCTAGTTGCTGACGACGAGCTTGACAGCGAGTGTTGTCATCGCTCACTAGCCTCTTGGCCGCCTTCCGCGCTCTAGGATCTTGATGTCACCAAAACTGATCCTCGCCCCGTCTTCGGTATACACGATGCAAGTCGTCGCTCGCTCTCGGACTTTGGAGACGCCGACAGCTGCGCTCCCGAATAAGATATCGCCAGCGTCAGCGGTGTCGGTACGTACATGTAATTAATCATCAGCCACGTCCCACTCACCTCGTCTTCCAGCAAGCGATATACTAACTAGCACGCTATCCCCAGGTCATCCCGTCTGGGAAGCTTCGGGCTTTCGAGTTTCGGGGATGTCTTGGTAGGTTTCTTTAAAGCCGGGGGAGGGGGCCGGGGCCCGGACCCGGCCGGGGTATAGCTAGCGTGTACCCACAGTGCCCCATACTCGGGACTCGGGAGTCGGGGCCCGGGCACTCGGGGTTCGGGTCATCCCGTCGGACATAGTAGTGCCCGCGTTAGGTGACACAAGTGAAAAGTAGCCTACCCGGCACCGACTCAGCCAATAAGCCCGAGGGGCTTACCTGAGCGCCATCGTCAGAAGCACTATCTCCGGGTTCTTCATGTTGCCTAGGCACCATTTTCTATTGATATACCGACACCGCGTACAAAGACTTTCGGCTTCTATGTCAACTACCGACTGGGTTTCATATTTGCATGCCCCTCATTGTCCAGCGGCCCGCGCTCATAAGACCACACCGGTCGACGTGTCGTTGGTTTCAGCTACTATGTAATAAAGTATGGCTCAAATGTTAGTCATACTGAGGGCATGAATATGCTCTTTGTCCGCGAAACACAATCAGTTCCTGTACCCGAAGTCTTCGCCCTATACTCCATCAAGAATGCAGACGGGCGATTTGTTCACTACATCATTAGTATGGGTAGACGGCCGTTTAAGGAGAGCGACTGTCTTGATGATGGCAGACGAAATAGCAGGCCTCCAATTCCAGATCACGCTCTTCCTTTGTAACTGCCCAATCATGCTCATATTAACATGTGCCTTTTGAAGGCTCGACAGCCTTCGACATTCCGCCATCTTGAAATTTCGCCTCTTCACATTTCGCTGCCAAAGATGTGCCTAGGTGATGCTGACGCCGGACCGCTCACTACCCTAGATGCCTAGAATATAACATGACTGCTTCCATTCCTCCTTTAGCTTGCATCATGCCCGGCCTGCGTATTTCCTTGTGGGGGCTTGACTGTTCTCCATTCCAGAAAGCACGACGCTGCAAAAGCTAGGCAAGAGACAGCCATCGCGCAGTAAAAGACGTGCCGTAACCCAATGTTGTAAGCAACGAGGACCAGCGGCAGCTGATCGCTGGATACGGAATGTGATAGATCCGTCGCGCCCTGGCCCAAGATGGCCGATATGTCCAAGTCAGGGACGCTGCGGCGCAGCTCGCTTCGTAGAGTGCCCGTCAACACGCCCTGAGACACACTCACGAATATAGTGCCTCCAACAAAGTTCATAAAGTTGACGACGGTGAGTCCTGTCGGAATGTCCTCGCGCGGCAGGACCGTCTGGACGGCATTGATGGGCTGGGCCAGAGAGAAACCCAAACCAGCACCGAATAGAATCTGGCCACAGACCACGGTTAGCAAGCTCATCCATCCAGACCATCAAACAAGACACCTACCTGAAATCCGATGACGTGGGCATCCGGCGAGCTCACACGCAGTGTGGAAAGGAGACCGCAGCCGATAGCCATGAGGACTGTGCCCGCCATCAGCCACGGTGTGTAGTAGCCCAACTTGGAGACGGCGGCTCCAGAGCCAATGACGAATACCACGGTGCCGATAAAGTACGCGAGCATCCGGACACCGGCATCAACAGCTGACAGGCCTTGTATCGCCTGGTACCAGATAGGTAAGTAGAATGTCACGATGATCAGCGCCGAACCGACACCCAGCGATGCCACAGATGCGGCTGCGATGCTGCGCTGTCTGAGGAGTCTGGGCGGAACGGTTCCATTGTTACCGATCCAGGCTTGGGATGCGGCGAACGAGAGGAGCAGCACCAACCCAGGCACCAATGTCCCCAGGACCTTGGGACTCCCCCAGTCATTCTCTTCGCCTCCCCACTGCAGGGCCAGCAACAGCAGGATCAAGCCCGGAATGAGCAGAGATGTGCCCACCGGATCAAACTGTCGTATCTTGTACGCAAGTGATTCCTCCGACCGTTTCTTGGGCGCAGGTCTAGAAGGGAGCAGGAAGAGGAGCATGACCAGCGCCAAAGCGCCTATCGGCAGGTTGATCCAGAAACACCAACGCCATGTTGCCTTGGTGGAAAAGACGCCACCGAGGAGCGGGCCAGCGACAGCGGCGACGCCAAACGTGGCCGCCAGGAGACCCTGGTACTTGGGGCGCTTCTCGAGCGGGAGAATGTCGACAAAGATGACCTGGCCGCCCGTCGACAGGCCCGCGCAGCCGATACCCGCGACGGCGCGGCCCACGATGAAGGCTGCGCTGCTGGGGGCGGTAGCAGAGATGATGGAGCCGACTTGGAAGATGACAACGAACAGGCTAAAGACCCATTTCGCTCGGAAAAAGGTCTTGAGGGTGAGGGAAGGCGTCAGTCTCGGACAGACACGTCAAGTCTCAAAGGCGGGAGAATGTCCAGTCCATGGCACGTACATATATCTTGCCCATGGGCAGCTGCAGCGCCGCAAACGTGAGTAGATACGCAGACTCGTACCACGATATATCGTGAAAAGATTCGAACTCGTTCGAGATGGCCGGCACGGCGACGCCAATGATTGTTCGATCCTGAATTTCTCTTGATTAGCGAGAGCGCAGGAGGAATGGGTCATCAAGGCTAGAGCAACGAACAAGCGACGCCAGAAAGTTGGCCAGGCAGACGGATAGCACAATGGGCAGCAGGACTTTTTTGGAAGGATATTCTTCTGCCCTCTCCGCTGCACCGTGTTCCTGGTGGTCCTGCTTTTCGTCAGGCATGGTGGCTGCAGTCTGGACACCAGGGTTCCTGGATATACGTTGGAGTTGGCGTCTGGAGGGAAGGGAAGGGAGAGACTGCTAGGGTCCAGGGAGTCCAGGACCCTCCAAGAGTCAAGATCATCTGCTGATCAGGATGAGGAGACTTCTATATAGTCCACGTCGCTATCGAAGAACCGCATCATCGATTGCAAGGGCGCAAGATCACTCACTCACCTGGACTGGTGGATGTGGCTCCTCTCGGTCTCGGTACCGAAGTCCGAGATCCCGGCCGAGAGCTCGGGACTCGGGAGACCCCGCCCTGTAGGGCTGAGCCTGCATGTCGATTAAGTCATAGAACCCGGCTCGAAAAGGGCTTGACCGTGCTCGACAATCCTTCAATTCGTGCAAAGGCAGACCGTCCTTTTTTCACATCCCCTCACGACCCGTCGTGTGTGTACAGTGCGTGTGTACATCGGAAATCCTTGTTATGCGCAGCGGGAAAACACCCGTCAGCTGCATTCCCTGTGCGAAGCGCAAGGTCCGCTGCGACAAACAGCAGCCCTGCTGCCACTGCAAGCGACGTCCACAGGATGCCTGCGAATATCCGAGGCCCATTGCGGTGCCCGAGCGTGGCCTCGACGCGCTGGGAGAGCGAATTGTGCACCTCGAGCGTGTGATCCGAAGCCTCGGGGGAGACCCGAACGACCTCAATGCTGTCCAGGGACTCCAGCCCCAGCACGGTCAGACTCCATCATATCCATCGCCAGCATCGGTGGAATCGGCCAGGTCATCTGCAACGGCTCGGATTGAGCCATCTTCTTGTGAAACAACGACGACGGCAGCTATTGATCGCGCCGGATTGTTAGCGCACGATGAGGAAGCGACATATGTCGAGTCGTGGGTCCCCTGTGCTCCTTACGCGTTGTCTCGACTTCTCTCAGGACTCGGGAGTCGACTGAAAGCGCCAGAATGCTGACCTGCGCTCAACTGTCTAGGCCCATGTGGTATAGCTGGGGAGAAGCCAAGTTCCTCCAACACGACAACCCTGCTGTCTCTTCGCTGCGACACCAGCTCTGTCTGTCCCCGTCCAGCGGGAGCGGTTATGTTTCCACCATCCTCGATCCCATCGAGGTCCCAGACAGGGCCCGCTCTGACACACGGCGTGTACCCCGACATCACTTCGACACTCTATGGACCATCTTCTTACAGAATGTGCACCCACTTGTCAAGATCTTCTTCGACTGGGAAGTCGAGCCAGTGATCGAAAGGGCCAAGCAGGAGGAGGCGTCTGACTTGTCTGCGCCCGAGGAGGCGCTCTTGTCTGCCATCAGCTTTCTGGCCACGGTGAGTCTGCCCGAAGACGACTGTGTACGTCTTCTGCACGAGGAAAAGCCACTGCTTCTGGCACACCTGCATCACACCACCGAAGTATCCCTACGGCTTGCCGGGTATGCCGTGACGTCCAACAAACTTACGGTGCAGGCCTTTATGCTCTATCTGGTAAGCTAGATATCTCACTCTCGGGTTTCCCTTCTCTCAAAAACCGCATTGACGCGATCCGCCCCCTGTCTAGCACGCAATTCGCGCCCGCGCTCATCCAGCCGCCCTGTTCTCTCTCATGGGCGTAGCCAGCCGGGTCGCCGAGCGGATGGGCCTCCATCGAGACGGCGAGATCCTAGGTCTCAGCGTCCTTCGCAGCGAAGAGCGCCGTCGCATGTGGTGGCAGCTGCAGTACATGGAGCTCACCGTGGCCCATCAGGTCGGTGCCCTGAGCCCCAGCGTTCTGGGCAAATGGGACGCCAAGATGCCGGCGAATGTAGACGACAGCGAGCTAGGACCCGAGACGAAAGCCCTTCCAGCTGATGGTACGGCGCTCACGAGCATGTCCAACTGCCTTTGGAAGTACAGTGTGCTTCACTTACACCGTGGTGCTCGTGGAGCCGATCGCGGTGTCCCCACGGCGGACGAGACAACCTCGATGGTGGACAGGATTGAGGAGATGCTGCGGGTCAAGTTCGTGCAGCACTGTGAGCTTCTCAACCCTCTCCATGTCAACATGCAAGTAGCGATCTGTCAGGTCCTCGTCGCCACGCGTCGGCTCCTTCGCCAGCCCGCCCTTATCCATGCCAAGATCTCCGACATGTCGCGCCGGGAGCGTGATGCGCTCCTAGCGATTTGTGTCAAGAACCTGGAGTATTGCATATTGACCCAGACGAATGAAACACTCAAGGGGTTCAAGTGGCACAACAACGCCTTCTTCCCTTGGGCTGCTTGTAGGTCCTCGTCTCTTTTGTCGCTGATCCGAGGAGGGACGAGCAACTGACGTCGCATGCAGTCATCTATGTCATTCTAGAGGCCAACCATAGAGCCGAGGAGGCTACTATCGAGGATATTTGGCGGACTATCCGTCGAACATACGAAACCCACGACGAGCTACGCGTCGCTGCCCACCGTCAAGACGTCACGTTTGCCGCGCGTATCACGGCGAGCGCGTGGCAGAGACGTCAACTGTATTGGCAAAAGCAGGATGCCAGTAGTAGGCGCGAGGAAACCCCATCGTGGATCATGGACGTTTGTAAAACATTCAACTTGCCTCAACCTGGCTCAGTTACGACGGCTGGTGAACAGGGACCGCACGACGCGACCGAAGCTCCAGCACTGGATTTTGACCTCGACTTGGACATGATAGACTGGTCCGTCTGGGACGGCGCGGCTATGGATGCAGCACTGTTTAGTAACGCTACTTAGTACTAGGGGCGATATATAGTCCCTGAATTTCTGGCGACAGCGTATAGTTTATGAAAGCCCCATCTTGATGCTGACCATGGGCTCTGAACTTCTCCAGCCCTGTAGTCTCTCTGGGGCAAAGCTCGGCAGGGCCATCCGTCGACCCAGGTGATAGTGAGAGCCCTTTGTGATTACAAGACGGACACTGGGAATGCCGGTGAACTATTATCCGTGAAGAACGTGCGGAGAAGGACATAAAGTTGATTATTCTCTACATAAATAATATATTGACTCTCAGAAAGGAAATAAAAGCGCGTTATCACAAAGATGACTCCTTATATGTGTTATGGCCCGAATATATAGCCTGACTAGAAAAGTAAAGCAGACATGCATAACAAACAAAATTATCGCCCTCGTAGCCTCGTAGGCTCGTACCGAGACCCCTGTTGCCCTCCTATTGAGGCCGCATGACCCCGCTGCTTACATGGATGGCGATACGTATGGAGGGACTGGATCTTCATTGTTGTCGCGAAACATCCCATTCCCACCACCAGCCACTCCTCCCTCCGCAGTGATACGCGACGGAAATTGATCATCTCAGCACGACAATGCGCAACAGCTGAATGCAATGGATTTTGCAACAGATTACGGCTTGGAGAATTCATTTTCCCGTTTTCAGACAGTGGGACGCCGAATCCCCCCGGGCCAGACACCAACCTTGCCTCTGGGGAACAGTCAGCGAGGCAGCAATTCCACCTTTGATGTCTTGGAACAAGACGACATCTACATGCATCTGGATGACGGCTCTAGCCCTTCCACGGCGCCAGCTACTCCCGTACATCCTGCTTGGCGGGACGCGGTGTGGTCGGCTGGAGCTTTCTCGACAGAGCTGATCAGAATTCAAGTAGCCCATCATGCAGAGTACCCTTCAGGGCAGGAAAAGCTCATCCTATACCAGGAACCGGCAGTGTCCGCCAACAACAGAAGCGGAGGTCAAATGCAATGGCTCCACGTGCGCACAAACGACTGCCCAACCGCAATGTCCCAAAGATCGTAACCGAATGCCCGTACATAGAGGTAAGTCACCGCGACAAGGCTCTCAAAGCATTGGATCTGGCAGACCAGCAGTACCACGGGTCTCATCAAGGCGCGAAGGAGGCAGGACCCCTTTCACTCTGGCGACAAGTCAGTGACCGTGCTCTCAACGCCATATATGCGTCTGGAGTCACACACAGATCATGATGTTGAGCGCTGGTGCTCGTATGCTCGGTTCAAAAGACATCTCACTATAGTGCGTGGTCTCGGGGCCGCGCCAAGTGTTATTGGAGACAATGGATGGTCAAAAGCTCACACCTGGCCTATGGCTCCAATTGCTTCGCGACCTGGACATCGACATGTATACGTTAAAAATCGTGCACCATTCTCCAATTCCGCCTCCCCGAGGCGTGATTCCTACGCCCCCTCGCTTTCGGTCTAGAGCGCAGGCCGAGCAGGACATCATACAAACAAACCACGGCATGCGACCGGCCGATGCCTCCTTTCATGAGAAGGTTAGCGCCCACTTTGTGGCGCTGGCCATCATTACCAAACTTCAGAACAGCACGATCAGACACGGAACTCTGGCGCACCAGGACGTGCACCCCGTCACACTCTATCATCGTTATTTTGGCCACTTTCGCTACGAGGGCCACCGCCGCCCCCGTGTGACGTTCGGGTCTAGACTAGCTACCGGGTAGATAGAATAGAAGTCGGATTTGAACTGAGTACACTAGGATGTCGTTGACTTGAGCGGTCGGGTTATAGTTTATGTGCGAGATAGTGGATCTTGCGTAGATAATTATATTAATAGCTAAGGAGCTAGGTAGAGACTAACTATAGTAAAGCGTAGCTTCCTATATACTAGTTTATGAAAGTAAGGGCTCACGGGAGCGTCGTGATCTAGTGAGCTATGCGTTGATATTAGAGCGTAGGCTTACGGTGAGGTCGCGAGCTATACTTTATACGTAGTAGTATAATTAGAGGAAAAAGTAGGGTGTATGTGAGAGGCGTATATGGTCGTATACTGGGTCGTAATATAATATCTCCCCTCCCGAGATTCTGTCCTTAGAATTAATTAAAACTAATCGTTAGTCTATACTCGTGAGTCTTATTAATTCCTTCTCCTTTATTATTTTTATATATACTGACGCTATATTTAGTCGCTCTTCTAACGTTGCTCGAAAGACTCGCGAACGCTTAAAGCTTACTTACGCTATTGCTCGTGACGGTGCTAACGTAGATATGCCGTGTACCTATTGTTTTAAGAATTAGAAGCTTTATTATTTTGATAATAGGTCTTCGAAATGTAGCGAGTGTGTTCGTCGCGGTCGTCCTTACGACGGGACGTTTGTGGCGTCTTTATATATATATTTGTTCTTTTCTTGCTCCTTTTCCTAACTTTCTTTAGTGAATCGTTTGCTTGAATAGCGTGAGAAGCTTAAGAAGGACGAAGAGAAAGCTAAAGAGGCTCTCCTTCGTTTTTAAACTAAGCTCGCGACTGCTGTTAGTTATTTAACGCGGATACGGAAGATTCGTCGACGTATGAAAGAGCGTATTAACGACTCCGTTCGCCGTGGTTTAGCCGGTCTTAAGGAGGATAAGCGGGATGACTCGGGATTTATAGCTCCCGCTAAAGCTATTCTTATTTTAGATAGTTATAAGCACTAGATTAAGAATAACCTAAGGTTCTTAGGTCTTTTTAATAATCCTAACTAGTCGTCCTTGGGTTTAGGTAATGATTTTACGGACGTAGTCCTTTTATCTAGAGCTAGAGCTATTAGTGGTAGTTCTTCACGAGGTGCTAATAATCCTTGAGATATTTAGCGGGTTCCTATATATTTTCGTTATTTATATAGCCTTTCTATTTAATAAGGTACTTAACTTCTCTGTCGATAGTTTGTTTATTGAGTATCCGTTCTAGTTCGTAGAGTTCTTCGAGAACTTCTAGTTCGTAGTTTGTTTTTGCGTTTTATAGTGCTTTTTCGAGTAGTGAAATATAAAAAACTAGGTATATCCTTATACTTAAGGGTAGTAAAAGTTTATAGTTAGTATCTAAGATAACTTTATTAATTTTAAATAGTCTAAGTTTTTTGTGATCGAGCTTTAGTAAAGGTTAAGTTATTATGAAATTTTTACGTAGTAGGTAGACTATATCTCCCCTCCGAAAGATCGGTCCCTTCGATCTTTTCTAATTATAATACTTCGATATTCGTGTATATACGAATTCGAGCTATTTCTTTATATATTTATATAGTAAGCGTAATTAATCTACTTTAAGTATAGCTTTTTTAGTAAGAGGTCTATCCCTTAGTGTTTTATTGCCGAACTCGGGTTCGTATCCGTAGTTCGCGTAAAATAGTGAGATTTTAGTTAATTCCGTAGGTGCGCTATTATAGGCGAGTTAGGCGAGTGGTAACTTCGAGACCTAATCGTCTTACTTATAGTTAATATAGTACCGTAAGTACTACTCTAATATCTAATTTAATCTTTCTATCTATCCGTCCGTTTATAGGTAGTAAGCTATGCTAAGCTTGTGTTTGGTCCTAAGCTAAGCTATTAATGCTTGCTAGAATTTCGAGGTAAATGTCGTTCCTCGATCCGAAATGATTTCTTCCGGAAGGCCGTGGTTAGCTACGATATATTTAAGTATTGTATATGCGAGTGTTTCTGTATCCGTTGCTTCTTAGTATAGTAGGAAATATCCGAATTTACTTATCCGGTCCGTGATAACGAATATATTATCGTATTCGACGTTAGATCCTGGTTCCTTGGATTTAGGTAGCTTCGTAATATAATCGAAGGCTATCGATTCCTATAGCTTTAAAGGCACTAGTAGTGGCTTTAATTCTCCGTATAGCTTGTGCCGTGTAGCCTTGCTACGCGTATAATCTTTATATTATCCGACGATACGTGCGACGTTTGCCTTAATTCCTTAGTAGTCGTATGTTTATCGTATTCGTTTAAGAGTCTTTCTAACTCCTTAATATCCTACCGTGGGATACGTATAAATATTAATTAAGATTTTATCGCGTAGCGGCGGTAGTATCTAGAGTAGTCTATTCCTAGTGGGTCCTTTTCCTATTTCTATCGCGTAATCGTTAGGTATTTCTTTTTTATATTTTAATACCTATTCTAATATTTTATCGTAGTATATAGTATTTACTTTTACTCTAAATATAAGAAGGTTAAGTATTATTTATACGTAGTTTCCTTTGTTATTTTATTAGAGTATCTAGCCCTTAGCTTTTAGTACTTCGATATCGTAGTCTAGTCGGCGGCTAAGTATATCTACTTTATTATTTTCCGAACCTTTCCGATAGATAATTTTAATATCGTAATCGGCTAAGAATTTAGCGTATCTTATTTATCGTGCGCTAAGTTCTTATATTATCGCGAAGTAGGAGATATTTTAGTAATCGGTATAAACTTTAGTAGTGAATTTCGTCCCTAGTATATAGTGCTTAAATTCCTTAATAGCTACGATAATTACTAGGAATTCCTTATCGTAAATAAGGTAGTTTAGTTCCGCGCCGTGGAGTTTCTTCGAGAAGAATATAATTAGTCGTACGTTACTATCGTCGTCTCGTTAACTAATTTATGCTCTTATAGCGTAGTCCGATACGTCTATTTCTAATTCGAGTAGTCTTTCGGGGTCGTAGGTTGTAAGTACTATATTTAATAGTATAGTATCTCGTAATCCTTCGAATACCCTTTATTACTCTATTTCTTACTTAAATTCTCCCTTTCCCTTAGTAAGTCCTATAAGTAGTGCTACGATTTTCGCAAAGTCGCGTATAAAGCGTCGATAATAGTTCGTAAATCCTACGAATACTTATACTTCCTTAAGCGTTATTAGCACGGGCTATTCTTTAACTATATTAATCTTTATTTATTCTATTAGGATTTTGTTTAGTCGGATCGTATATCCGAGGAAGACGGTTTCTTATATATAAAACGCGCTCTTTTCTAGGTTAACTAAAAGGTTCGTATCTTAAAGTATTTTTAGTACTTAGTGGACGTATTTCTTATATTCTTTAAGGTTTT